CCTAACCTTGCTTTGTGATCAGTGCTGAGTTTCCACAAGGAACGCCAGACTCCTTTGAAGTTGCTCAATTCCACAACTACAGGAATATTAAAGGCTCGCGTAACTCCCGTCCTTGATTCCCTACGGCAAACCTGAGTGACAGATACATCCAGGTGTGTTCCTTATCTTTAATAACGATGCCCTTTTCTCTTTCCCTGTGTGAAGGTGTTCATTGCGAGAACATGCTCCTACTGAAATAACCGTGGAGCAAGTGCTCCCAAGCACCGTGAAGAATCCATTTAGGAACGAGAGATAACATTTCCTTACTCTTGGCAACCTCTGTGTGCTCGGGGTAGCAGCTGGTATAGCTAATAGACATACAAATTTAGGTCAACTGCACTTTGAAAAGCAGTAAAAATGGAAGGTGGAGCAAGACGGAAGTCTGGGCACCCCAGGCACTGTCTGACTAGCAACAGTCTCTCTATCCCAAGATCTACAGCAGCTTCTTTTCTGCTCCCCGGCTCCCGTGTCAACCTCAGCCAAAATGCTTTATGGGTGGCCCTTAAAAACCCAGAACCCCCCCGAGCAAAACCTTGAAGCTTAGCTACGTGGCCAGTCTCTGGCCCATCCTTACCCCTCCCCTGCCGTTCACATTTTCAACCACCAGCTCAGGAGGAAAGTTACCCATTCTTCCTGCTTTCTTCAATTTCATCGTTTTCCCTGTCTTCAACACGCTTCTGCGTTCAAAAATTATCTTCCGTCTCATCTACCCACCGCACAATCAAAACCACTCCACCTCCAAAAATCCCCTCCCAGGTATATGAGATTCCCCTCCCACCTTGATATGCCTGCATGAAGTATCTTGCTTAAAGAGTCTACCAGCAGTATGCAGAGGGAACGAGAAAACATGTTTTCTTCCAGCTTGCTTCTGTGGCTGCTTGTCCTCTTCACCATTACAGGCAACAGCACAGTGAATTCCTTAAAGCAGGCCTAACATCACTCAGCACGTAGGAAGAGTCCATCACCTTCATAAATACAAGTTAAATAAATCAGAATTCTAAGAGAAGGAAAGGTCACTATGACACTACTGTGGGAACTGCAGACCACCAACTGGAGAACGTACCGACAGTCAGTCTCAGACACTTGGGAAGAGCCCGAGATCTTTTGGTCCACTAAGCCACCCTAGTCCTTGACTGGCATTTAATGACTGGAGGCATCAGCACTTGTCATTTTAAAATCCAATTTCCCTCACTGTAGGCATTAATTTCTCAGGTAACGGGTAACTGGTGGCTTCAGCCTTGTCTACATATGTTTTATCGAAAAGCCTCTTTGTCACAGCATCACAGAAGGGTTGAGGTTGGAAGGGCCTCTGGAGGTCATCCCCAACCCCCCTGCTGCCCAGGACCATGCTCGGGGGGCTTCTGAGTGTCCCCAGGGACGGAGACCGCGCGAGCGCCCTGGGCCGGCAGTGCCAGTGCGCGCTCACCCGCACAGTGAAGTGTTTCCTGATGTTCGGACGGCACCTCCTGTGCTTCAGTTTGTGCTCGTGGCCTCTTGCCCTTGGCTCCACTGAAAAGCATCTGGCTCTGTCTTCTCTCTGTACTTGATTTACACTGATAAGATCCCCCTGAGCCTTCCCTTCTCCAAGCTGACCAGTCCCAAATCTCTCAGCCTTTCCTGCTAGGAGAGATGCTCCAGACCCGTAATCATCTTCACGGCCACTTGGACTCTGTCCAGTACTTCCATCTTCCTCTCACACTTTTTCATAGTCTGTAGCTGAGTATGAGTAAAACAGATGATCTTTAAGAAAATGCTAAGCCTCTTTAGCACAAGTCTAGATGACTCTGAAATCTGAGTATTTCGAACCCAGCGATACTGTGTTCACGCTGTTCTGCCGTTGCTCCCAGTGTGTAGACTACACACTGGTAATTTTTAATAGAGGAGCCCAACACTGGTATCAGAAAACATCTTGGCTTTGTGTCCTTCCAGTCATCTTCTCCCAAAACACACCTTTCTGGGAACCACCCTACTCTGCAACAGTTAGGGATATAAGAAAATTACAGAGATAATTTGAGTGACAAAAGAATGTACTTATTTGGAGAAAGAAGGGTATTGATGCTGAATGCAGTCACCTGGCTTAGGTGGGCTGACCCAACCCTGTGTATTCATAATAGCTTAAAAGAACTCAAGAGATGATGAACATATTGTCTTGTCATTGAAGGACAGTGATGCTATCATTGTCTCTTGGGGAAAGAACGAGACTTCAAACTAAGGCCAAAATTGTTCCAGCCCAACAACTCCCACATCACTGTCTGCTGTGGTACCTTCACAAAGAGAAATCGATAAACTCTCTCAGACAGCATATTCATCACTCCAGTTTAGGCTTCTCAGATTTCCTCCAGTCACAGGTTTCATACAGTACATCTATTGAACTGTAATATCAAAAGGTATTGCCTTTCACACGCTAAATCAGTTTTTATTATTATTTAATGATCCGGAGACTAAATAAATAGGCTGGCAGACAGAAGTCTTCTGTGAATCTCTCATTTGTTCTAATCCAGATGTATCTAGTGTAAGTAGTAATCTAGGAAAAACACAAGATTTCAGTGTAAACCAATGGTGTATCTGGGCTATTTACCAAAGCTATTATCACCTCAAATTATTCATAATTGAAGTTTGTTTCAGATACTAATTTACAGAAGAAATGAGAAGTCATTGATCATGTAGCAACTAGAGGTTTGTTTAGGATGTGTTTGTCCACAATCACTCGCAGCTGCTGAGGTGCGTACGCCTTATGCTGTAGCCAGAATCCTTTTGGCCAGGGTTCACCTGCACCCTGGAGGTCCTACACCTCCTACAGAAGAGCTGAGGGCAGAGAACACCAGCTGTGCCTCCACCTCCTTTCACTGCAGAATCCTGTATCAGCAGAGTTGGGAGGCAGTAGAAGATGACAGTATGACAAGAAACACAAGACTGTGTATCCCGAACAACTGTCTTTGGTGTAGACTCAGTTAAAGGACATCTCATTCTATGAGTTTTCATCCATGCTACTTAATTCTACTATTTATGATTCTAGAATGTTTCAAGCATGGACAGAGTTATCAGTCTGACCTGTTACAGCATCTTTAAAAGGATACGTAAATGCTATTCTCCACCCTTATAGTCTGCCAAAAGCAAATGCTTGTAACAGGATCAAACCAGACATTCTTTCAGTGTATTTTCTCAGGTTCTGAAATTCAGTAGGGTAGGGAGTTTGAGTTCCTCAATTTTAACAGCTATTGAAGGATCAGCCTTTCCCAGAGTTCCGATTCCTTTTTGTATTTGTTTATACATTTGGTTTCTAGCCCAGCCTGCAGCAGTAAATTCCAAAATTATGTGCAATGGCAAAAAAATTCCTTCTGCTTTAAAACTGCTACCTGATTTCACTGTAGGTGTGAGGGAAATTCCGAATAATAGTGCATGCACGTTTTCAGACTCGAGTAGCACCTACCAATAAAATTTATCATTTTATCATTACTATTGGATACACTCAAGAGGGTTAATCTGATCCTTTATAGATTCAAATATTTCTATCTTTGACTCAGCGATTACATAAATGTGGATGATCAGTAATAAACAGTGGTTAGTGGAAGCTCATTCTGATAGATGTTGGTGAGCACTTGGAGGTAAAGGAATCCTGACAAGCAGTCATGGCCTTGTTCTTATGGCAGTAACCCCTGAAAAGCACAGGGTTGACTGAGAGCAGGTTTACAGCCATACAAAGACACTACTCTCTTACAATACTCCTTTCTCCAGTACTGCGTACTATTAACCTTGGAGGGAAAAATCCTGAAGCTGTTTACCTTAAACTTGTTTACGTGATTTTGCAATGCTGTTGAAACCTAAATCAAACAATAAAATAGAACTGCAGCTTTTAAAATTTTACTATTACATTTTCATCTGGCAATAAATAACATTTCCCAGCAAGGCTAACTTATAAAATGTTCTGCTTCCTTCAAGGACGATCTGTCACGTATCATGTCTGCAGGTGTTTTATGTACCCTGGACAAAATTGGGAGCTCTTAACCATTAATACACAGTTCTCAGCTCTCAACTGACCAATGGCAGGTTGCGGGTTACCAGACTATTGGGGAGTTTGCTTTATCTGCTCCTCTCATCCTAAGTACAAGAGCAGAAACCTTTCAGTTTTATTGTAACGAGCCATTACAGAGTACCTCTTCCTTTACTGAAAGCATTCCAACATGCAGTAGCCCTTCAGAGGGGAAGCAGCAGCACATCAGTAACCCTCAGCAGATGGCAGCACATGCACAGGAACAGACACATTAGCCATAGAATTAAGAAAAAAAAAAGGGACGGGGGGAAATATATCCTATTCCTCTCAACTCTGAATTTCAGTGCTGCTTATGAGGAATCACTGTAAGTTACATTATTTATATCATGCCTTCTGGTATGACCAAGTTACCTTTTTCTGCAGAAATTCCCATCATTAATAGGCAATGAAAACACTTGACATTCTCCCCATTTCACTTGCTCCCAAAGGTGTTTAACTGCAACACTTACATTTGCATACAACACTCAGCCAAGAAATACTGTTGTCTAAGCCACCTGAGATGCAATTTTTCTTTTAAACCAATCTCACTTTATAAAATATGATGTTTTATAAATCACAAGGATTAGTAGAATGATTAGAAGGAGGTAATGCTTGTAATAAGCCACTGAAATGGCCTAATATACAGTTGCCCATCTGTTTAAATACAGCTTAAAATAATTTCTTAGTTTAAGCATCCCCTTATTTTCCCCAACTCTGCCCCTTTATTTTTATATGGCAACCATTGATTCAGTCTGTTCTTCAGAGTATCACTGGATATCACATGATCTTCAAATCACTGAGTGAATAGTGAAAATACTAATACCTTCCCATATACTGCTCTTGCATTAATGCATTTCATGAATGCAATCACATACCCTTAATAACTAAATTTAGCTTTTATTAAGCATGACTGCACAACAGAAGAGACAGATTTTATTTCACATCTGTATTTTATTCTGAAACCACTAACCTCATTTTTAGGACTAAACATCTCACAAATAAAAGAGGAAAAGATGTAACAAAGGTGCCACGAATCAGTAATTCAAAAGTGTTCTTCTGACATACAGGAAAAGAAATAATATATTACATTTTGCTGTATGAAAAATTAATGAAAAAAATTGTATCCAGTATATGAAGTTATAGTCTGAATCAGAACATAGTCTAGATCATCAGTTTCCTTTGACTTCTAGTTTTTGGTTAAGAAAAACCCCGAACACCCTTGTATAGCTTTTAGAAAAACTAACGACAAAAAAAATAGGAAAATGCAACTTGCAGTTACAGACAAAAAGATCATGCCCCAGGGCTTATGAGCTTTTAAACAGAAAATAAACAACTAAACCTAGATTTGCTTTGTCTTTCATGTACCTTGTGATAAACCTGCTCAGAAGTATTATTAAAATAAAAACTGCATCCTGCTTTATGTCAGTTTGTTTTATGAATAAACTCATTTGCTCTATGTCAGCAAACGCCAGTGTTTAAAAAAAAAACCCATTAACATATTCCAAACTGTGTTTTAGCACACTCATGCTAACCTTAAGGAACAGTCTTGCAAAACAAGCATCCAAGGGTTATACAGAAGACAAAAGTCATTTTTAGACTAGTTGTAACACCTCGTTTTCTGAAAAACTCCTAGAAATACTTAAACATTCAACACAACAAGCTTATGTAGCTGATAAATACCATTTATTCTTTCATGCTGCTTTCCCGACTTGTCAATGACCTGCTGAGAATCCACCTAGTCAAAAGAAGTAAGATGAAAGTCAGAATGCATTCTTTGTAATGTTTTTCTATATAGCATAGTTAAAGAAGAGAGTCTTGAAGAATTTTAACAGTTTCAAGTCACACAGGAATTCAGTTCCATGCCACATGTTTCAACATAAGAGCCAGGACTATAAAATGCTGTATCTCATGGTTTGCCCAAGTCAGAACACTATCCCACAATCAAGTCCAAGGCAATACAGGTAGTATTTTATGTGGTGATGAAAAAAAGATGTCCTGAGATTCTTCAGACTTCAGCTGCAGTGAGGAAAATCCTGATCCAAGGCCTATACATAAGCCTGTTATAAAACCTAAACACCATTGTAACTGATTTTGAAATATGAAAATGGAAACAATTTGGCTTAAGGCAGTATATCACGACACACTCCAACCCCTCAGTGAATGTCTACCAGAAATACGTGCCCTTGGTGCTTGTCCACTGTTGACAATCTTCAAGAAGAGAGACCCAGACCCCTCAATTTGTATGCCTCAGGGTGGGAGAGGCACAGGGAAGGTGTGTGTAGACACCTTAGTCCTGTACTAATTCCTCTCCCCCTTTTAATTAAGAAAATGCACTTGTTTGTCAGGAAATCTAGTGGCCTGCAGAGGCCCTTACACAAAGAAAGGTAAGATTTCTAACAGAGTAGGAAGCTAGACTTTTCAGTTTTATGAAACCCTCCCAGGTTTCAAGAAAACTGCCCTCCTATCTGATCCCAACACATCTGTTCTCAAGCAAACCACATTTCTGTCTCCTTAAAAGGGAAAAGCCACCTGAGAGCACAGCAACCCAAACCAAAAGTGCCCTGCATTCAGATAAATCCTAAACAAGGTAAATGTATCAATCTTTTTCTTTCAGGTCATAGCTGTTTCACACAAATAAAAATCAGATTTTTAACTTCCAACAAATGTAAAGTTACCTTTACATTCTCAACTTAAAAATCATGAAGTGTTCTGTTTGAAAAGGCTAAATATTTGTATACAGAAATTTAAAAAAAATAGCCAACACACTAAATAGACTTTACAAAAATAGGGTATCAACAGAGACTGATGTATACACAACAGTTTTTATGCCTAAAATTCAACTCTACAGTGCTTTCAGTATTTTTAAATTCAATACTCAAAAAAGACATCCTGCCAAAGGAAATTCTCCGTTTGATCACTCTAACTGTACTAGGGTACTCTTAACTACTCTTCTTGGGGGGGGGGAATTATCTTTATATTCTTACCTGATTCCATGCATATGGCTTCTCATACCATGTAGGAACAATTTTATCTCGAGGTTTTGATTTGCAGATTAAACTGAAATTACATAAAAATAGCCTTAAGAAATACAAGTGTATTTGTTTAATTATAAAGAGAAAGGAATTTTTATATTAGATACAACTCAGAATTTATGAGGTGTCTGTGCTGAAGGGAATCAAATTTCCTTGTTAATCTAGTCTTATTCATTCACTTCTCTGTACTTTGCCCCTCTAGAGTAAGAAGTCAAAATACAAATCTTCACAGGGATGTTAAGTCTATCAGAGTGTATTTTCTTTTAAAGAAAATAATGATTTTTTTTTTCCATTTACAAAAGAATTTGCAACTGTCATTTATTCCATAAGTTTTATGCATGCTTATTCACTAGAATGTATAATACAGCTATTTTTAGGGTATTTTGTTTTGCCTGACAACTCAATTACTATAGATTGTCTGTCTGCTCCAGTTATTTCCTCAGGCTGTGCAAAGTACAACAGCAGTAGACTTTAATTAATTCTGTCTAGATGTGTTTTTCAAACACTGATTTTAGTCTTAAGTAGTGGTGACATGTTGTAAATACAATTAGCTTTCAAAAATGCAAAAAAGTTATGAAAAACTGTTCAGGCTAAAATTTTGCACATCTACTCTTATTAATAAAAGGTTAGGTTTCTTCCAAGACATAAAACAAAAATACAGTCAGAACATAATCATCAACAAGAAATATTTTACACAAAGGAAAAGATGACATCATGACAATAACCAGACTGTCTCTTCCTTCAAAAAGGTTAAAATAAAAGAATTACAAGAATTAGCTATAGGATCATTGGAACAGAATCAGTAAAAACACAAAGATTCCAAGAGAGAAAACACTACCACAGAAAGGTACTAAGATCCTAAAGCAAAAAAAGCCCTGAAGGCTGATGAGAGTGGCTGAGTCAGGCAGTGAGCACAGGCTGAACCGGGGAACGTGTCAACGCTGCGGAGCTGCGCAGGCTGCTCCTTCCACTCCCGACTGGCTGGAGGTGCCTGACCAACCAACCCCAAACTGGTACCGAAACAGTAGCAAGTATTCACATGTCTAAAGAAACAGCAGTGACGTTTTTGTGCCTTGGATTTAGCACGTAAGTGTCGATGTCCAAGCATGAGCTCCTGTTATTGTCACAGTCACCTCCAGAGAGGTTTTGGGGGTTTGCTTCTTTCTGCCTATCCCCTTCCCTTGGCTTCTTCCTATGCTTGCTGCTACACAAATCACATGAGAAAACCTCATTCTGCTTTGAAGTCTAAACATGGTACTACACAGCAGTGTCCAAAGGCAATGCAGACACCAACTGGCCTGAGGTGCTCTGACAGAAACAGGACATTAAATCTTGCATCAGCAGTATGCTTGACAGCTGGTGTATTACCAAGAGTTCTGCAGATGTGGAGTGTGAGCAGGTTGCCATCAGCCTGCGCTGGTGCTCCCGAGGTACAGCCTCCGCGAAGCTGCAGCACCACGTTCCGGAGGCTGGTGCAACCCACCACGAGAGCTTCCTGGAAGCTGCCACGTCGCGGGGAGAAGAGCGGCTGACCCACTCACCATGTCCCACGTGGCTGCTGGGCAGCTAACATACAGGGGGTATCTCCACAGCTTCTCGCAATTGTTTATGCTCTTTTATTTCCGTTGCCTCAGAAGGCGAGGCTGACTCCCTCCCGCTTGTTAATTTATTATAAAATGCACCACACTGAATTTTCCTTCGAGTTTTGGAAATAAGAAGTATGGGTACTTCTTTCAACTAAAGGTAATGTAATAGTTTTTTTTTACAGATGCGAATTAAAAAAAAAAAAAAAAAAAAAAAAAATCAACTGAGCAGGTACATTCAAAACCAAGAAACATCTGAAAACTCAGCATAAGCAGCTGCTCTGATAATAATTTTGATAACCTAGGGTAAGGACAGCTAAGCTTAAAAGCTTCTGATCTTTATCAGCATGAGGAACTGCCTCACTTTGGCACAGAGTTACTTCAGAAAAGCTCTATTTGCAAAACAAGTCCCACTTCCTAGAGATGAGGCCAATACTTGAGAGCGTAATGTAACTCTTAACTCATGGCTGAGCCAGAACTCTCTTTTAAATCTGTTCCGTAGAGAGCCAGGTAAGGATGAGAAAATTCTACTGATGATACAGACCTCTACTAAAATGCACACTAGATTTACAAACCAGGGAAGATTTTTCACAGCATGCTCAGCAGTGGCAGACAGAAGGAGCTGTTTCAGAGATACTTCATTAAACTACCTGCCCTGAACACTTCCTACACACCGTAAGCTGAAAAAATCCTCGTGACTGGCTGCACTGACAACAGGCTTTTCAGAACCACCGCTTCAGTTATGACAAGCAGGGTGGCCTGCTGGAAAAAAAGGCAGGTGGCCTTACTTCAATTCATAAACTAACCTGGGACTCCATCAATTAACTTGGGCCAACACCTTTCCTACACAGATCTGTTGAGGGAGGAAAGGCAGCACACAATTCAAGTTTAACGTATAGGGAGAAAGAATTCTAAATCCTTCTGCACTCTTATGCCATAGGACCTTATTAGCTTTGTCCTGGGTGCACAAAGCAAAGATACATCAGAACTGGTATCCCACAGAACAGGTTTTACAGTCTACGTTTTAAGGCTCTTAAGTGATCACGCTTCCCTGAAGAACCAGTGCTTCTACAAGAAGTCTAAAGTTGTTGACTATAATGCTTTCTAAATAAACAAAGTAAATGAAATGCATCATTAAATGAGAACATTTATTACTTCCCCAAAGCCTAATCTGAGCTATGCTTCAAGCAATCATTTATTTTGTTTTTGCTGAGGCTGTGAAACAGAAGATCTTATTTCTACAAAATTATTACCATAGAAGTTTCTGACGAACGTTTTCCTGCAGCTGTGTCATTCTCTCTTGTCCAGAACACACTGCACACTCACAGAGCAGCTCGTTAATAGCTGTCCTTAGGAAGTTTATCTGCAAAAATACCAGTTACAGAATATAAAGCACTCGAAACCAGCACTAGTTATGTATTGTATTATACTGACATCAAGGTGGTTGTAGCACCCATACCACCAAACTTCAGTTGGAAGATTATTAAATATAAGCAAAAACATCTGAAGCTTTAGAAACACTTCTTCCAGATGCACCTCTGCTGGTCAAAGACGTTAATGTTCAGCCACTTGATATCACAATCTTCAAGTTTACTCAAATTATGCTGTAACACATACAGGCTAATATTTGACTGGATTCTTTCCAAAACAGAATTCCTTCTGTAAAAGTTTTAAGGGTTTTCTCTATCTGTCCATAATTCTCACTTGCACAAGAGCTCGGTGTTAGCAACCTGGCTAAGGTGTCATGAATATAGACATTATACACACCAAGTCAGTGCTTTCAGAAAAGAACAGCTCACAGGTATGTGCACCAGCTTGTCCACTGTGTCCTTAAAAAGCCTCTCGAAACAACTGATCATCACCTGATGTACCTGCTCTGTACACAGAACTAATCAGGGCACGTGAGGTCCTTCACTGCCCACAGCACACGTCAAATCTGAAGCACAGGTCAAATACAGTTTACTGTCCTGCATAAGGGAGTCTATGTACGCACTTCCCTCTGACAGATCTCTGTCTACAAGCTGCAGAAAGGCTGTAAGGAAGAACACAGGGGTTTCTATTGTTTGCTTTGGTTGATCTGCTCTGAGAGAAGTAGCTTGATACAGATGACTTAGAGCTGTAAAATCAAACTGAATATTGCAAAGCAGTAATGCTAGGCTGATCAGTAAAACCCACAGTAATCCTAAGAACATAACTAATAAGTACTGACATCTGATTAGTTCAAAATAGATGTTTTTGTTTTGATAAGCGTACAGTGTATTGTTCTGTATTTTATTTCGTTCAAAGTGCATGGAGGGCTTAACTTTCTTCTGGTAAGAATCCAAGGTTATAAACAGGTAGTATACTAAGAAAAAAAACACCCAACAAACTACCCAAACCCACATCTTAACACAAGTTTTCTTATTAACTCTCAGAGTTAACAAGCTCTGATGCACTACATTCTACTTGCTCCCTACTACAGCAAAAATTCTTACGCATGTTTTACCTCTGATATGTCTTCTACTCCAAAATGCACATCAAACATCAGCTCCATGTCATTTTCTGGAAGCAGTGGAGCCCCACAAACCTGACTCCAACCCAAACCACACAGAACGCCAGTAAAATACTTTCCACTTTTATCAACCCTGTATGAAAAAGGAAGAAGACAGTCTTTCCTAGAAATGAAGAAACTAAACTTATATGAAGACAGGCGTAAATGAATTTGTCTAAGCCATGCCAAGCAAGACACAAGTGTTTTAAAGAAGCTGAAACAACTGAGAGGCATTCACACCTAGTCATACTGTTTTTTTAAATATAGTGATGAAACAAAACTAATGTTCTGGTTATGAAAACATATACTCATAGAACTTAAAAAGAAAATAATACATATGCAAAATGAAACTTTAATTAAGGAAAGTGAGCTTCACTATGCTGAAATGACAGACTCTAGATATAAGAATTTAAACAAAACACAACAGTAATGCAACTGCTAGAACTCAGCTTTTACAAAATTCACGCAAGTTCCTCTCCTTACGTAGATTTAAAACTTGACCAGTTGTACAGTTCATCTTGCCAGGCTTCCAGCACGATTGTCAGCAACTGTATTGCCTTACCGTGAGGGTAGAGCCTGTGGCACCATTTCAGAAGTACATGAAAGAAGTTAGCTTCATACAATACTAAAACTGATAAAAGATGCAAGAATTACATAAACAGAAAGAGAATATACTAAATGCTGAAAGCAGATAAAAAAAAAATCCGTCACCTATTTGTAAGGGTCCTAAAAAAAACCCCACTACTTCTGAAAACGCGTGAATACCTTAGTTCTATAGCAGGAGCAAACAGCATACTGAGGAGTGCAAGCAGGCCGGGAATAGGAGGCATCAAAGATGTTTCCTCTAAAATCACAGTAGATCCTGTCACCGAAAAAAAAAAAATCTCTAAGGTGTACTAAGGAGTACCTAACGAAAATAAAACTTCAAAAAGATGTAACGTAGAACTACTGTGACATATTTACTTGTGGAACTATTCATATAAAACCAGAGAAACTGTCCAACCATTTTTATTAAGCATTACCAGTTGCATTTGTTGTTAAAGAAGCGGCGACCAACAACTGCTGAAAGGGATCTTCTGGAGCACCATGGACAACAACAGAGTTTATGCTTTCCTTTTGTATGAAAGCACTCCTGGGGATGAAATAAATATTTTCAACATTAAAAAAACAAAAATCATACAAAAACATAAAAAAAAAATTATTATTTTAGATTTGCAACACAACCTCAGTGGATAGCAGTTACTGGCTGAAGATTACCTGAATACCATCTAGCAGATGTATATGATGGTTAATAAATAATCTCTCTGTAAAACATTAAAGCACCTTTAATAAAACAATTCTTAACATTGTACATAGCGATAGTGTGCATATTAATGCAATTCAGGCCCGACTACTTCAGCCTTTTCAATGAATAAAAATTCTGTAAAAATCTTAGGAGTAACTAGGGTGGGTTTTGCCCGTTTATCAAAAATAAGAGCTGAGAATGTGCCTATGCTTTACAGTAAAACTCTTTCCATACCTGAACTGGGATACTCTAGTCATACTGTAGCATTTCACTTCATATGGACTGAATGGCCCCAAAACTGTTACCTTCAAAAAAAGAGAACAAATGATATCCTAAGTTAGTCAGCACCTGGATCTCTCCAAACTAAAATCCTTTATAAATGAAAACCAAAAACCATTTCACCACATATTAAGCAACACTGAACCAATAAACTGATGAAAAGCATTTTCATTTCACCCATCTAAAGCAAACTTTGCTTGTCGAGGCATCTAAACAAAAATGATGTATTTTCACAGGTGCTGGGGATTCTCAACTTTCCTCTGGCTTAAGAACAAAATCACGTCATTTTTGTTTACATGAGCAGGTCTTTAATCTTAAAAATATCTCACTTTACTGAAGTGAGTAGTTAAATAGAATTACTCTTGTGGGTAAACTGAGCATGATTAGGTGCTTGAAAGTCTGAAGTTTTGTCAGGTCTAAATGGAAACAGAATTATAATGTAGATGAGGCTTAACTTGTAATCAGAACGCAGAATAGGACACACATTTTCATGTTTTATATTCCATCTTAGTAGTGACTACATATCTCAAAATACATAAGTAAGAATAAATTCTTGGAATTGGCAGTGGAACAAACCTGTTTCATTATTATCAGTTACTGAAATGTTCACTGCATCGCCTATCCTAGCTGCTTACCTATCACTAGCTGTGTAGTAAAAACAAGGTTTAAATTTTCTGAAAAATTGATCAGGTTGTAATCTTGCTTGTTGCTGTAGCTTATACAATGAAGACTACTATGTGTGGAAACACTGTGTACCGTTTTTCAATTTTATCTTCATTCTGCAGTGGTTCCAAGTGCTGCCTTAGAATGTGTTAGAAGAGTCGGCTCACTTAGTTCTTAGGCTGTACTTCAAAACTTTGTTAAAGGCTGCAATGGTGGTCACATTACAGCTTACACCAACAGAAAGTAGAATGCACTATGAAAGGCACCAAATATTGTCTGGTTATTAGAGCTACTTTCAGTCTTCATCTCCGTTCTAGACACGCCAAAACCACCACTCAAGTTACCTTATGGGTTGGCGCATCGGACATTATGTCAGAAAACTGGTTTAACAATCTTTCAATGACATGCTTTTCTTCCTCTCTTGAGGATACAGGCATTTTCTCTTCTTTCTTTACTTGATCCAAGAATAATCCCTTGAGCAAATCATGGCTTTGCTACGTAAGAATAGAAGAGTATTAAAACCATGAAACAGCTATGTTTTTCAGAAATTTTATAAAAAAGGTCCTACCCAAAGAACATGCATACTCACATACGAACACAAAAAACAACGTTCTTAATGCCTTTCAGATTATAGAAAGCAAAAACAGAAGACAGTTAAAACGAAACAGTTACATTTTTTCAAAGTTTCAAAGAACAGCGGAGCAGTAAATTATCTCCTGGGAAACGTCTCTTTCAAAAGGTGTTTCAAACCAGCAGTGCTTCTGGCCAACAGCTCAGTATTAATTATGCACACACATAAAAATATATTGTCCTATTCAAGTATTAATCTTGCCTAATCCTACGGCATTAGTCAAGACTTCAGCTCAACTTCTCAGGACTTCAGACAGCCTGAGATGAAATAAATTAGAGTAAGAAAAGTAGAAGCAGCTTACTCAATACCTACCTGCGATTCGTATGATTCTGCTGCTAGTTCAGCGTAACATTCTTCAACAAGCACATCGCGAATGTTCACAAGCTCTCTGCATCTCGAGTACTGGAAGACATCCACATGCAGAACACCATGCACGAGCGAATACACCTTCACCAGAAGCGGGTAGCCATTCACCAGCGAGGCAAATCTCTGGCTAGCGCTGTAACTCCACTGTTCCCCACATACAAGAGATTTTGCAGACGGACGCATCCTGCATATCTTGAATTCTAAAGCCTAGAGCAAAACCATTGAAAACAACGCTTGCCTGAGTAGAGAATCAGCATGAAAAGATTTCGTTTTCTCAACAATCTGTTTGAATTAGTAACTATAAATGACTTTATAATTATTGCAGTGGTTTATGTTAATTCCTAGGGCTGCTGTAAAGCTACTGGCATAATTCCTACTTCGTCACTGCCAACACAGCTACACATTACATCTCGTATCACTTCGAAGTTGTACATAGTTGCTAATAAATCAGAGTAAACAGAGCATAAATAAAACATAATTTGGTATTAATTCACCATCTACAATGAAGTCTTTGGAGTACAGAGATGTCTTGTCTGGAAAAAACTTTAAAATCCACAGTTCTTTTCAACTAAGGTAACAGAAAACTTGGCAAGACCACTGCAACTATTCTGTTCCTGGCAGGCAAGAGTAATTCAGTTTTCATTTAACCCCTCTCCACTATCACTACCTGTAATGATGTCTTCAAATGAATTTATAACAGAAACCCTATTTTTTTCTAGCTGGTCATTTGAACTGGTCATTAAAAGATTAGGCCTGAAGTGGAAATACACTTCCCTTTAATACATTTGAAGAAAACACAAAAAAGGTTGTTTCTTGCCAAAATTAATTCTACTTAATTTTTTAATCAATTATAAAAGAAAACCAAATAAAATGAGCCCAGTCAAGATCTAATACTACAAAGAGATGAATAAAACCATAACTCTGTTGGTTCATTTCTCATTTTCATCATTAAATGCTTCAGAGAATAAAGTTAGTATGATATAACTGTTTCAATTCACTTAATAATATCCGAATGAGGACTGAAAAGCTGAATTTCACTTGAAGTCTAGTTATTTTATTCATAAACATAGCTCAAGAGAATTACTTCTCTGAAAAACTAGCTGTAAAGTCCCTCAGATTTATGTTACAGATCGCTATTTAATTATCAAGAGTTCTGACTGAAAAGTTCCAAGCCAGAAGTTCGAAGACTCTAGCAAAAAGACACCCGAAAAGAGACCTCTAACTTTGCAAATTGGGTATCTCCTACATATTTGTCCTGTAACTAATGGTGTAGTAGAGCAGGAACTGTGCTGGAGCAAAAATACTGCACAGTAACGGTATGCAAGATACTTGCCATTGCAGACTTGTGCCCTGCAGACCAGAAGAGATACCGTGCTGCCACTGATCTGTAGTAGGAGCAGCTAGGTTTAAGCAGAGAACAATAGATTTAACTAGTCATTGACTGTTTCTCCTCTCTGAGCTGTTTTCTAGGCTGTATAAACCTCTGTCATTTGCTCCGAGGTTCTCTAGACAGGAGCAAAGCAGATCTACTGCTCAGCCTGTTACTCCGGAGGAGCTTTGCGTGTAAGCAGGCACTAGAGGAACCTGAACAACACAGACCTCCCAGGGAGAAGTTACACTCCTCATGCAACTGACAGACAGCAAAGAAACTGATAACCAAAAGCACCAAGCAGTAAAAAGCAGCTGTTAGAGCAATTTCCTCTCTCTTTCTGCTATTCTGTGATTATACGTGGGGGATAGATCCCACTATGTTGTCCCCACAGAAAAGGGACTAGTTCAAACATTCAGTTGAAAAAAAAATTAATACAAAAAATGTTTTTTACATTCAGCCAGGCAGCAAGTTCAGGCTTTTTTTTTTTTTTGACCCCTTTCTCTAGCAAGTGCCCCTGAAAACAAAAGGCTGGATAAGATTTCTCTACAATTAAATACAATGCATTACTGCTTTGTGCATACACATCTGGAAAACATTTATCCACCTATTAGTGAAGGCAATTTGTAGGTACTCCCATTAGCAAAATATATGTTATTTCATTATTATGCTGAAAAGCATTATGATTTGAAGTACACTTCTGTGTGCCAGACCAGACATTAAAATATCTATTAAAGGCAGCAGCAAATAGCATCATCCCTACCTGGAAAGGAAGCCCTTGAAGACAGCTTGGAATCTCTTTTAATTTATTTAAAGGCACTTTTGATCTATTGCCATAATCCACAAAAAAAACCTGGAAAAAGAATTGAGAGCATCTACAGAGATTGCACAACATTAAAAGTGCTACCTTTAGTGGCAAGGAAAACAGCAACTTAAGTTTAAGAATTATAGTGCAACACAATCTTATCAAGTGAAATGGAAGCAAATTCAGAGTCTGGAAAACATGCAAAAATAATAGGTCAAATTTTATCATGCCTACTATTTGATCCCTCGGTTTAAACATCCACTGGTAACACAAATAATCTGCTAAATCTAGAAAAGGCAATTTCTCTGGAAGGCACTAATTCTCTCCCCACAATTAAATCTGTATAACCTTACTTCTTAACAGTGAGTGATACTACCAAATAACTGCTTTTAGATAAGCAAATGTTAACATGGACCCAGTGATTGTTTATAAATGCAAAAGAGAAAGTAATGAGATTAGCACTCTAATTCACCAGGTTTCCATGACTTTAAACAGATGATCATGTTCAGTATTGACTCTACAGTGGTTGCACCCAGCTGTGTTAAGATATCAAGAAATTCAAAGGAGAAAGGGGCTCTTCAAAGGCCAATCTTACAAAAATGAAAAAAATCTGTCCTTAACTGCTGAAAAGTACTGGCCTGAAAAATTAATATCAGTCTTGAACTGTGGCACTAATTTCTATTACTGATCTCATCACAAAAAGTCAAATTGTTCTGATGAATTAGCTGATGCTGATAGAACTCAGCAACAAACACCAACACAAAAAAGATTCCACTGAAAGTACCTGATCTCAACAGGAATGGGGAAAATCAAGTAGTATGAAATGAAAGATCATACATATCCTTTGGAATTTTTAACAATTTCTGCTATAAATACTCCATTATTATTTATAAATTCTACTTAGTTGGGAATTATTAAGGAGACAGAACTGAGTATAAAATGACAAGAAGTGGCCCCTGCAAAAGAGCTATGAAAAGGCAAATGTGGCATGTGGCACATTAAACATTTTTGAATGCAGAGGAGAAACACTGTTGAAAGAGGAATACCAGCATCATTGCATAAGCAAAGGCAGAACTGTAAGTACAGGAGCATGCATAGTTCTGCTTCAGAAAACTGAGGTCAAAACAAAATAGAAGAGTGAAATTGAGGAAGGTGAACAGAGAGTCAGTGTAGTATGTGAGATGAGAAAGAAGGCAGCTTGCTTCAATTAGCAAAACAAAGTCCAGGAAGAAAAAAAGATAGAGAAGAAACTGGAGGGGAGGGGAAAAAGGAGGAAAATAAAACCTATGTAACCCAGGGGAAGAAACACTGGCAGAAGAACAAGTTTAGACGAATTGGCCATGAATGACCGAAAACTGGCAATACAGTGGGAGGGAAGAAGCTTACTCTTCAAACAGATCTCAATGTATCTCTGAAGAGGAAGTGATGGGGCTGCTGCCAGCAATGCAGCACTGGACCCTGCTCTAGGCATTCCTTACCATGTTTTTGAAGTTACTGGAGGTTTTAGTCTTTTATTTTTTGCTTTGTTCTGCCTCAGCACACAAGGCATTTCACTGTATCAACAACAGCCTCTCAATTTAATACTAAAATATTCCTGTGTTCTGGGAAAAAACCTAATTCATATATTCTGGTAGCATTCTATTAAGGTCTTCAGATTTCTTTACTAGAATATTTATAATTATCATGAACATAGAGTTTTGTAAAAAAAAAAAAAAAAATCAAAATCAGAGCTCCAAGATTGTTAAGCTAATTACATCCTACGAATTCAGTATGACATATCATATTACTGTACCTCAGCAAAATCTCCACAAACATACAGAATACGAGCTCTGTAGTATCCTCTGTCTTCCAGGTGAGTGAACGGTGCCAGACAAACCATCTCTGGACATGGAGACACTGCCAAATCTGTCAGGTTCTGGTAACTGATTTCAGCAGTTAGAGCCTGGAGTGCAGTCCTGGTTTTTTCATCTATCCTGTAACCCCAGAAGTGCCCAACTTCTACTATCTGGAAGTATGAAAATTAAACCATAACAGATTTCATATTATTCTTCTATATCAAATATAAAACACATCTGAGCAAAATACATGAAATCACTTCTGACACACACACAAATGTTCTCATACAGGAATAATGCAGTGAAGTATTTCTGTCTCATAATTAGATATGATTTTAAAATGTCGATTTGCTGTGCAACTGCAATATACTTTTCATCTGAATAGACCTTGATATAAGCATTACTAAAATACAGAAAGTGAAGAAAAGAGTGCTTCCATTTTTCCAAACCAAGTCAACATACAGAAAGAAAAAAAAAAAAAAAGAGGTATACAGTTGATTAGACTGGTCTTTGTAGATACAGTGCACTTTTCTTACTAGTGAAAGAATACCAGTTAGCTACATCTATCGGCAAATGGCATTGTTACTGTTGTGATTAGCCATCCTCTAGGAAACTGAAAAGAACACACAACTAGTTAAATATAATCAAATAAGGTAAGTCATCTTTTCCAATGGCTTACTGAACTCATATACCATTCCTGATCTTACATCAAATGCTCGTGGTAAAAAAAAAAAAAAAATCTTTACAACACATATGATCATTAAAGCTGATGTATTGAACAGAAGTAGCATACATAGTTAAGTGACTGGAATGTTTCTGAGCAAATCCATGAACATTTTTGATCCAGGAGACTTAGCTGAATAAAATTAAGAAAATATTATTTTCTGTACTTACAAAACATGTCATTAATATCAAAAGCTGTTTTAATACTTCAGCCTACAATTTCCACTAACTCAGTGGTTTGGATTTTTTTTAATTACTTTTATTTCAGCAGCATATATATATATATATTGCTTGCTATTACGCAATTTGAGATGATAGTTAACATAAAATTCAAACTCTCAGCTTCAGAATTTAGAAATATTTATACATATCTAGTAAATGGCCCAAATACTTACCGATTCTCATCGGTAAATACTCACCGATTTGTGCACACAAATATTTTACCCCTCTCATTAGTCCTCTGTACATTTATGCCTACTTCCAGCTAACGTTTACTGTCAGTGAATCCCACAAACATTGTTTGAATGTTTGAAATTTATTTGCAAGATGTGAGTATTGTTTGATAAAAAACTACTAAAAATTAGACCAAGAATACCTCCATACCTCTTATGGATACCTCTGTGCTAAAAACATTATTAGTGGACACTCTTTTCATTTATGCTTGCCAGATATTAATCTCTGCAAAATTATCTAGGCATTGATTATTAGATATGACCTACTTGAGATGTAGAACATTCCTACCTCTGTTATCTTGATGCACAGAAGACTACTTGGGATCATCTTTGACTGTTGTGAAGTACCAAATGAGATTTCCACTGGCTCCACACTCTGCTTCTGACAGTCCACATTTACTCTAAAAAGTTTATGGAATGAAGATGCTAAATACTTCACTGACAAGCAAAAACTCAAGAGTTCAATTTTTTTGCCTTCATCTGTTTCTTAATGTGTCCCTAGGGCACATTTATGTACTTAATGACTTCTATTTAGAAATACATGAATTCAATATAATGACCACTCAGAACCAAAATACTACAGAGAAATTGTTTGAAATCCATTATGATCAAACACAGGAAGATACATACCAAGACACAACTGTGCCATCAATTTATCAGAAATCCGAAGAATTAAGGTTAAATAATGAAGCCTTTTGCTATGGCATGCCTTCTAAGCTTATTTTTTAAAAATAAATTGAGTACACTACAGCACAAAGATCAATTCAGCATATCTTTTTTTTTAATATATATAATATTCCTTTTACTTGACAAAAGTTAAGAACACTAAGGTTAGTCTTTCAGCCTAGGAGACTTCTTTCTTGAGCTGCTCAAGAATTAATTTTCATAAAGATTAAGTGCTGTTTTGTGCACAGTGAAACTGCTAAAATGTTTCTATTAGAAACTAAGTACAATTATCAACTGGATTCACGTGCACTTTACCCTTTCCAGTTCATTCCTGTCTTCTTACTTCGTATTTCTTATTTTAAAATACTAAAATGGCTGCACACCAACCAGGAGCTAGGAGGATTATCATTTTAGGAAGTTGCTTGTATGACCTGCAGCTGAGAATCACAGGCAGCATATAATAACAATGAAACCTGTATGTCAGATATTTCTAGCAAAAGCAGGCACAGACCCAAGAGACTCACTATGTTGCTTTACTCATCATTTTCCATTATGCCTCCCCACTTTATGTTGTTACATTTCCTCCCAGTTTCTGTTGTTACACGCCTCTTCCTTCCCTTTTATGTCCCCAAAAGCCACTCCTTATTTATTTTGGTTCCAGCAATTCCCACATTGTCTCTACCATGAACAGAAATTACTGTGTACATCCATATTTCCGTATGCCAAAGCAAATGCCCTAGAGCCTTAAAAAACAAAACCAGACGGGATATACTTGGAGTTCTCTTAAACAGTAAAACACCTTTAACTATAAGGAAATATTTAAGACAATCAATGTTATTTCTAGTCCTGCAAAAATATTCTGCTTATACAGAGTTTACACATCTGTTTTTTGAACCCAACATTTCTTCCTGGGTGACATTTACAATGAAATTCTCACTGAATCCAGCAAACCTCATCTCAAAGAAATCCATTTTCCATATGCAATACAATTACCTTAGAGATTTCACACCTGCAGTTGTCACACCTTGCAACTGCCTTTCGATATCATCTGGATAATGAACATTCAGCTCAAGAGGAATTTTCAGCTGTGACATCTTGACTGACAGGTACACTGCAGGAAGAATCTTAAAGCCCTCCATTGGGCTATGGGAGAACTCCACAAAAGCCCTGTTCAAAAAAACCCCAGCAAATAAAATTGCATAAATACTCGATGAGGAATCAAAACCCAACAAAAAAACCCACAAAAGCCACCATTTCTTCTCCCGGTCTTCACCTTAGCAGGCCAGCAAACAGTAACAAGTAGGCTCCTCACAGGCTCTGCCTACTGCTCTTATGCACCTTAAAACTTTAATTATGATGATGGCTATAAGAAACCTCTCTAACATTCTCACAAACACATACCAAATTTACTGAGCCTATTTAATACAAATAGAAAGGATGTGAAAATATACATGAACAAGAAAAGAATTAAAGATTGGAAAAGGCATAAAAGGACTACATGAATTCACCTTTGGGCAGTTATAGTCCGAAGTTAGGCAATTAGCTAAACCAGCCAGTCACATGCATTTTGTGCAAAGCCATCTGACTGTACAGGTGAGCTGAATTCATTATACAAGTTAGAAATAAATACAGACTGATCGCTCCAGTTAAAGTTCACTGTTAGGCAACAGAAGAGACAAAGCAGAAAGCAGTCTCTAACTCAGCTAGTTTATCTAATGTTATTCCAACTAATGCGCCTCAAACTTCAGCTTTCTTACTCTAGCCAATAAATTAAATTTCTGATTCAGAAGAGATGGGAAGAAATAAACTCATTTTGCCAGTGCACCATTGACAAAGAAATTGATAACTAGATTCATAACTGAGAACATGAGAAAGGCAGGATCCTTCAAAGTATCTTATACTTACTTTGATCCATCATAGGCAATAGATTTTACTTGCCCACACTGCCTAAACAGTGACTGCAACTGCTTATGGTAGAGATATCCATAGGGAGGAATGTTCTTCAGCTGTTAAGAAAAAAAAAAAGTTGAATTTTGATACATTCAATTATTGTAATGTATTATTAAGTTCACCTAGATATTTAGCATCCTCCTTCACTTGGGCTGCAAGTGATATACAATCTAAACCTCAACAAGTTCCCAAAATGCTACATACTAAATTCAGAAATCTCAAAAGACAATAAAATCAGTTTTGCTGCTAATGCTGCCCTGCTGCTTCAAACCAACAGATGTATATTTTCTTTCTCTAACTATAAATGAAACAACTTCATTTATAATTATATATATTTCTTTGATAATTTTTCCCAGAAGCTGTCTACTATCCATCTTTTTGCTTGTAACAGAAACACAACAGACTGCTACGCCTCCTTGCCCACCACTGGGAGCTAGGTAGTGCGCACAGCCTGGGAAACAGGAGCAGCCTCAGCCCTGCACGTCCTGACAGAACTACCTGGTACTGAATTACTGAGGTATGGTGGGACAGCTTGCACAGCTGGAGAGCACTTATGGATGGATACACGCTTCTTAAGGATGACAGACAAAGAACAACCTCTTGATTTCTCCCGTGTGGAGAAGTAACTCAAATTTAAGGTGCTCTTACATGGAGCAGACACAGGACAACCCAGCTCTTGTGGGTCAGGATAAGACAAGAGGTCAGTAAGGGTAACACTGAGGTGGGAATATGTAACAGAACATCTGCCAGGATGAAGCAGATAATCTTTAGGCAACTTAGATGTCTCCAGGTCACAGACCCTGCATCTTAGACGGAAAGAATAAGCTCCCTGATAAGCTGCTAGGAGGGAAGGTCACAAGCTCCTAGATTTCTGAAGGGTGATGAAAGTGACTTCCTAACACAGGTCATATGAGCCTAACAGGGCTCTTCTGGATCTGCTATTAGCAAACAATTAGCAAACAACGTAGACCTTGCTATGGTAGTGATAATCAACAGCACCCCAGGCCAGAGCAACCGGGAAAAGGGGAGCTCAAGATCCTGAGAAGAATGAGGAAGAAAAGTAGAAGAATACACATCCTGAACTATAGGACAGCACAGTTTGGTTTATTCAGGGAACTGGTAGGTGGGATCCCATGGGAAGTTGCAGAATCTCTACTCACAGAGCTTTTTCCAAACCCAACCGGATGAAGGCCTAAGCAACATGGTCTGAATTCGTTATTAAGTCTGCTTTGACCACTTCACCAGACTAGAAGACTTCATGAAGTCGCTTCCAAATGGAACTATTAAACAATTTTGTTGTTCTTCTTGGATTTTAATCCTAAAATCACTACAAACTGATGAAGTTACTGGAGTTGCAACACCTTTTCAAAGGCATTCTGTTAAGAATAACATTCTAGTTAAGTATTGTGGATTGTACAATGTTAAGTATAGTGGATTCTATGGATGGCATATAGCTAAGTATAACGGATTATGACTCTAATATGTCTGACCAAGCCAACAAAGAGACATAGCCATGCATTTCACTAATTCCATGAGCTAAATTAGCTTGAAAACTAACTCTACACAAAGCAACGGAATAGCCTTCTACTTTTAACACCTGGCTCACTCAGGAGACAGATGAGATCAAAGATAAGAAAAGAGCATGTCCAGTCAAAAGCGAAGCGCTAATTTACATCAGTTTAAGGCTGTAGTTTCACAACTATTAATATGCTAGTGTAGCCAGGTATCCATTTCTCTACCTTTTTCTTACTCAACCATCTCTCACAGGAAATCTTGCTTTAATATAGAATAACAGAACTCTTAACTAGCAAGTTCAAGCTTCTGGACTTTAAACTATTTTTCATGGGCTATACAACTGCCTGTTCTTCTCTTTGATTGTTACAGTCTTAGACAGGAAAGAACATATTTTTAGAAAATCTTAATACGCCTTGAAATTACAGTACTAAGATCAGCTGCTGGTCAAAAACATGGTCTAAGTCAGACTGCAGAAACTGCCTCAAGTCAAGATGATTTAGAGAGACCAGAGAATGTGAGGAATAATTGCCTTTTATATCTTCGGCATACACCATTAGGAGCATCATACAGCTATAAGAAAAGTCTCTCAAACTGAAAGCTTGAGGAACTTGCAGCACTTGTGCCCATGAAGATCATTTACACTGATTAGGACACAGCAGCTACTCCTTCCTTCTTTAAGATAATAAGCAGATTAAGAATTACATACAATGAAAGTAAATAGCTCCTTAAATCTAACAGTTTAATCTTAATCAGTGTTGCTGTGGCAAAACTAATCTTCTCTTTAATCCACAAAATTGAGTCTAGTATATTTTGCTTCAATATCCTTAAACAATATGTTAAAAAATTCAAAAACATACATAAATGTGTTTGTGTACACATACTGCCATACCAGCATCTCCTCCAGTACAGAACTAGCCTCTCTTCTTGGGTAAGCAGTAAAGCACGAAAAAGCTACCTGTTAGTAAGCTTAGATGAAAAGGTAGGAGAGAAACTCATAGAACTCTTTTCTGTTGTGCCAATACAAGTCTATTCTTTGAGGCTCACTGGTTTGCAGGTTTGTTTTCTTTAGGGACAGGCCAGGGTTACTTTACAGGCTATTCCTCGTTCAAATGCACCAAGCATCTTCCTAGTTTAGATTGTGTACCATTCCGCAAAATTGACGTAGCCATTTCAAACCTGCACTTATTCAATCAGATAACAAATATTTCTAAAAGAAGATAAAAAACAGAGGGCAGTACCTGAGTAGCCTTTAAGCACCAAGCATGTATGCCATGCACTATCAAGTAGCTTACAAAAAAATTTCATAAATCCCCATTAAAAAGTACCCTTGATAGCACTGTTCTATTTTTCAAATCTTTTATTAGCTTTGTGGAAGTTGTTTGCCTGTGCAAAACTAGGAAATCAAATGCACAGAAGCAGCTCTCAGTAGGAATTCTTCTAAAATTTCCCACCCACACGATGTTTATTATATTGAAAGAAAGGGAGATGAGAGAGAAGACAAATTACGAAGTGAGGATCAGAGCAGATAATTATTTCTGTCCTTGCCCAAGACAGAATAAAACTTGAAAGTACCATCCAAACACTACACATTTTTAACTTGATTCTTTAAGTCATTCACCTCCTTAACATACCATTACAGTGGTTTTTGGATCCTTGCCAGCAAGGACTCTCGTAGCAATTTCTTCATCACATTTTCCAAAAGTAAAGTAGTTTGGATAGAAAGCACCAGCTATTACAACCTGAAATCAATAAAATATTTTATAAAACACAGCAGATTCAATTTCTTGAAAAGACATACACTAGCAACACAGAGAAATATCAACAAATCTTCATATGAAGATTTTTTCCTGCCTCTTTCCAGGAATTACTGTAATTGTGGACTAAACGTTGACTCATGCAAACCCTTACCCTCATACTTTCATGAGAATAGTTCAACTTCTGGAACAATTTTACAACATTTTGGTATTTTTGTATGCAGACTTGCTCTATGAAAACTGTTATTGTTATCCCTGATTTCAAGAATGGACTCAATTTTAAATAAATTCACATAAAATACCCACATGAAAATTATTCAGTTTTCATGTTACATCTTACAGTACTTAACAATTCAGCTCTGAAAAGTTCACTGCTTATACAGTTAAACCAATTGCCACTGAAATGATAAATAGGCCTGTGAAAATAAAATCACTACTAATCAGTCCAAATAAGATAAAGAATTTAATTGGAAATTTGACAGTTATAACACCTGAAAGACATCTAATTCCTCCTCCTGCTAGTAACTAACCAAGACAGTAGTGGTTTAAACAAAGCACTCAAAACAAGTGAAAACATCCTCTTCAAAACTGTTAGCCCTTAGCCTTCCAACACAAACCATCCTTCTTTAGACTGTTTTTATAACTTTCACAAGGATTAGTCTATTTTATTTTGATGAACTATTAGAAGTGAAAGGACAAGCCCAAGGACCAACTTAGTGTGAATTCTGAACCACCAGAAGTAACATTAGTTGTCCTAAATTGCCAAAAAAAATTACTTTTTTTCACCTGCAATCTCAAAATCTACAGATTTTTGAAACATGGGTGTAATTCTAGTTCACCAGTACTAGTATATGAAAAAACAGTTATAAATTTTGTAAAAAAAAGGCTCTCCCCCTAAAGAGTCAATAAAGCATTACCTGCAAAATGAATCGTTGTTTGTACACACATTCCTGATCCATAGCAGATGGTTGAGCTTTAACACACATGTTAAATGCTCTGACTCGCCTTTTCAGGTTGTGAAATAACTCTGCCACCTGAAATTTGAACTCTATGGTACATATTAAACAGATCAAAACTGTCCACGAATGGAAATAAAATCTGCTAGTGACAGTCTACATAAGCGGGCAAACTCCCTTTCCTTTTTAGGTGACTAGCATGCATTTCACCTAGCATACTACTTATCATCGCTACTTCAGAAAATAATTTCAGCATTGTGACTCAAGCAGTTTTCCTGACATCTCTTTATAAGGCAGCATTTTGTGGTCACAAAGCATATTATGCATATATGATATAGAACAAAATTAGAAGAACTGAAATAACTTTTTTTCAGGATAATATCCTGATTCTCCATTTAAGTAATTTTTGGCTTGTATCTTAAAAGGTAAAAAACCCATGCTAACAACAACCTGTACTTGTGCACCCAGCTGTGGCAGTGACAACATATGCTGCACCCTCAGTTCAGCAGACAACCCGGTTGACTTTAAGCGAGACCAAACCTACGCCCCGCAGCAGAACATGCTCTGTTAAGCTTTCATTCCTGAGCATTTCCAAGAATTTTCCTAAGCAGCCACTGGTCCTCCAGCCACAGAGTGAATGCCTTCATTGGCCCAACTGATTGTGAAGCAAATGTAGAGAAGTACAGTCTGCTCAACTGCTTCATATCCACATTTTTCCTTCTGCTGCTGGCAGGTTTAGGATACTAAAACTCCTGCTATTTTCCTCATAGGACAGCTAGCATAATCAGAGACCAGTCTGTGTGGCTGCCTTAGTTTGGCAAAATCTACTTCCATGCAAGGAATTATAAAATTAGTATTTGAAAGTGAGACGAATAAACCCCGGATCTTCTTAAGAAGTGTTAGTGTAGGTGTCCATTCTAAACTCTTTAACTATTATGCCATGCACGACAACTTCTTGTATTATCTGAAACTGAGCCAAGAGAACCCCAACTACCCAGGAGTCTATCACATAAGACTGATCCTTCAGTTTTCCAGTTTCACACAATTTGCTTTTTTCTCATCTTTTTTTCCTTAATATCAGATATACAAGCTAAAAAACTATTAGCATTTCTTATCCAGATGGTTGCTTACTTTATGAACACCAGCCCTACACTGCTCATGCCAAAGGTATGACCTGCTGGAATAACAGCTGAAGCCACACTCAGCCAATCAGTTATGCTGGAATTTTACTTATTTCCCCTCTCAACACATCACAATAATCGTGAAGCCCTTTGTGAAACAGAGTTTTCATTAATTGCTGCAGTAATGTTAGCAACAAGGCTCCACAAACACATCTTCACAAGAATGCACACCTGGCTTTGCTAACATTGCAATGATTCTCCTCACTTCTTTCCTTTCTTTGAAATTCTATATAAATGGTGTCTCTACAACCACTTGAGAGAGGAGAGGAGTGGAAGGGGAATGTTTGCTCACTATGACCACCGGTAATAAAGCTTTTGTCTGATCTGTCTTAAATTGCACTTAGAGTACCAATATTTTCCAACCACTTTAAATAGCACCATCTCCCCGCTTCCCCCCTAAAGAAACAAAACCTAAAAATTCATTTTTAAAGATGAACATATGCATATATAGACAGATACATAATAATACAGTAGGCTTATCCAAGATCTTAGTATTTGTAGAAAATAAAGTCCTTCCACTTATAAAAATTATTAACCATTTCCTTACCTCTCTAATCTTCTTGATATGAATACAATTTGATTTACCCCACTCAAGCTCTTCCTGGAAAATAAAGTGAAAAATGCAAACACAAAAATTGTTAGAAATTTGTTTCTTCTACTGCTAGTAAGCTTTGTCATATTCTTCTTTGTATTTACAAACAATAGTTATATACAGCGATAGAAAAGTTTTATCTCATTTCACAGCTTTCTTTGCATCCATATCAACTGAGTACTATGTATGAAAACATAATAAAATTATGTACTTGACTAATAAACTATACTTTAGTCACCACCAGTGCAGCTGTGGGTCATCTAAATTTCTCATATACACCCTCAAGTTCAACTCCTCTGTATTGCTAGTACCGAATCTACTTTCAGATGGACACTTCTTCCCAAAAAACAGACCTTCTTTATCTGGATGCATAACTATCAGACAGATTTTGGCATCTTGGTTACCCATAACTCAGTGTATGTTACACACTGGTGTTCATAAAGCATATTATGCTCTAAAAGAAGCAGAGAAGTAAAAAGGGTTTTATCTTATACACATGAAAGAAAGACTGAAAGCAGTTGTTATCTGTGTACGACTTTTTGTGACTGATGCATGTAAAGACTTTCTACCTTTCCGTTTTTTTGTTTTGTTTTGTTTTTGGGGGTTGTTTTTTGTTTGTTTTTTTTTTTTTTTTGGGGGGGGGGGGGGACGGACATGGGGGAATGGGGAAGAGTGGAAGGAGATGTGTTTCTTAAAAAAAATTTTAAAAGACACTTATGCATATTAAAAATATTTATTTCCATTACAGCTCTATTTCCCTTTTCAGCTTGAATTTCAAACCCACGAGCCACTGCTGATACATCTGTGAAAGGGACAGCATAAGGTACTGCCTTCAAATACTCAGCACTGGATTCAAAGACTCATGTTCTCTCAAAGGGTATGCTTCTATTTACTTATGAAAAATCTTTATAATAAAGACCAATTTCTAGCAAAAAAATCCTTACTAAGAATGTAAAATACTCCAGCACTGAAGTCACCAACGTTGAATAGAAAAGAAGAAATGAAATTTAACTAACCTTGGGATGTCTCAGCTCCCCTTTTTGTCTGCAGGCCTGCCATGCCTAAGAAAAAAGTGGTGTAGTATTCAGGCACAAACTGTAGTGTTTTAGTAATAATTATTACAAATATTAATGTGACATTTAAAACTATGAAGGTTTTTCCATACCTATACTGAAGATCATTTTTAACACCAATTTAAAAGCCGGAGATGCCATTGGGCTACCACAGACTACAACTATTTAAGCACAGAAGAGTATAAGGAAATCTGAATGAAAGTAATTTAAGAAGACTTCTCCAGTTCAACTGTTCCAACATCCCACACAGCAGGCTCAAATCAGATCAGGTTTTTGAGGATCTTGTCTATGAAGCTCTGAGTAACCTTGACGGACCTCACGGCTGAACCTGCTGTGAGCAGGACACTGGAATACAGACATAGTGAGTCCCTTTCCAGCCTTAATTATTTAATGATTCTAGTCTAATATGATGCTTGCCTGGTTGGATCCTAAGCAGATACAAGTATTTCTCACTCCTATGAATTGTCTTACTCTATTTTGTTGAGGGTGGGCAAAAACTTTGGGTCTTCCTCTCCTTATAGATGAGGCACACAAAGTGCTGTATCTGCAAAATATAATTCCAGGAATGCATTCCTGGAGGTTTGAAAGTGTGGCACGGTTATAAAAATTGTACCACAACAGGCAAAAGAACAAGGATTGCTGTAACAAGATAAATGCAAAGCATCTGACACTGTCCCGCAAAACATGCTTTTCCCTAATTTGAGATGTAGATTTAGGGGATGGACCACTCGGTGGATAAGGGATCGGCTGGAAGATCGCACCCGGAGTTGCAGTCAACAGCTCGATGTCCAAGTGGAGAGCAGGGACAAGTGGTGATCCTCAGCGGTCAGTACTGGGACCAGTGCTGTTTAACATCTTTGTTGGCAACACAGACAGTGGGATCAAGTGCACCCTCAGCAAGTTTGCTGATGACACCAAACTGTGCGGTGTGGTGACACGCTGGGGGGCAGGGATGCCACCCAGAGGGACCTGGGCAGGCGGGCCCAGGCAAACTTCATGGAGTTCAACAAGGCCACGTGCAAGGTCCTGCCCGTGGGTCAGGGCAATCCCAAGCACAAATCCAGGCTGGGCGAGGAGTGGCTGAAGAACAGCCCTGCACAGAAGGACCTGGGGGTGTTGGTGGATGGAGAACTGACTATGAGCCACCAATGTGCCCTCGCAGCCCAGAAAAGCCAACCATGTTCTGGGCTGCATCACAAGTGTGGCCAGCAGGTTGAGGGAGGGGATTCTCCCCCTCTACTCCGCTCTTGTGAGGCCCCACCTGCAGTGCTGGGTCCAGCTCTGGGACCTCCAGTGTAAGAAGGAGATGGACCTGCTCAAGCAGGTGCAGAGGAGGCCGTGACGATCATCAGGGGGCTGGAGCATGTTGCTTTGATAGAGCTACATTGAAATGTTTCCCTCCCAACCCAAACCATTCTGTGGAACTGTTCTATGATATAACTTTTCCGCCTTCAAGCTAGCTTAGAGGTTATGGCATGCAATGCTGCATCTACAGACTGAAAAGGAGTTTAAGGACTATTGTATGAACTGTAATTACATATACAGCCTCAAACTTGCCATCAGCTCCTGCAACAAAATTGGAAACACAGCATTTATGTCACTGAATTTCTGGACATCACTTAGAGCTTTCAGATATTCTTGCATTCCAAAAGCAGACCAAGCACCTTACGTTCCAAGGCTTTAATGGAGGAAGTCCTGATTTGTACTGGGAGAAGTACAACAGCCACCTGGAAACACAGCCACACTGAGCAGGCTATCCAAATAGTTTTGTGAGATGGGCTGAGTATTAAAGCACATGCAAACATCTGTAAATAAATAGAACAACTTGGATGCTTTGATTGGATGCTGTAATAATCCAGGCTACTTTCAGAACCTTTCTTTTCTCTTTGCTTTGGCATAAAAGTGGACTGATTCAGATACAGTTCTGACATAGATGCCTCCCAGAAAACAGGCCTGGAAGAGAAATTAACATACCCAGAATATTAATGAAAATAATCTCATTATCAGGCAGCAAATCTATGACAAATGCCTGCAGAATCCATTTCTTCTAGTTTGACAGCAAGTCACCTCATAATAGACTTTTCCAGCTTACTGTGGACACTATTAGCATTGCTGAATAGCCAGACTGCATTTCCCTACCTTGACGGAGGCTATCTGATGTACTGATTTTGAGTAATGCTTTTGACATCCACTGCTTCCATACCCAAGCCTTACAATATGTCAGAAAAATAATTTTCACTTATTTGACATTTTTTTCTTTTAAAAACTCTCTTTTTTTTTTTGAATCATACCACTTAAACCAGGCTAATTAGCCTTTACTTCCCTGGATTCTCCTACTACTACCAAAGTTTTGTACCATTTCTAATTCACTGAAACCTTTTCATAAGCAACGGCTTACAAAAGACATGCTAATGATTCACAGAACTTCAGCCTACCCTGGAAGAAATCTAATCTGAACCAGGGAGTTTAAAAACAAGTTATTTTCTTTGTCTTTTCTGATACTCAGCCATTCAAAACAGAGCCTTCACATCACTCACACATAGAGATACTGCACAGGAAGCTCTGTCTGAATGTTTGCATTTATTCTCCAGGACAACATACTAGTTTATAGAAGTATCACCTTCAGATTAACAGGACATGAGGGAAATATACAACAGGATAAAGAGAATTCAGAGTGGATGATGCATGAGCCTCAGGATCAGTCAGTACACGTGGCATACGTGCCCATGTGTGCTTCATAAAATTCTGACACCAGAGTACTGAAAAACAAGTTAGATTTCAAAGTGAAAAAAGGCCAACATAAACAAAATGGAATAAATTATATTGGCAGCTGAAGATTTCAGAGTCTCTAGAAGATTACAGAACATGTCAGGCCATCCATAATGTGAAAGGTTGGATTTCGAGTGGTAAGTTCCTCTAGCAGAAGTCTTTCCTATGGTGTACCAGCTCCACGTGTGACTGCAGGCTCGACCTCTGTCCATGGTACTGAGCTACTGGCGAGCCAAGCACACCCCAAAATCACATTTAGACAGAACGAAATGTTAAAAAGTCAAAACTATGAGGTCTGGAGAAAGGACACCAAACTCATTCTGTAGAACTTACCAGTCCACACTGCTCTTGGTTAAAAGGAAGATACCACTACCACCAGGTGTCTGGCATTTTATTTTGATTATTAATACAGAGACAATTGGAACTAGTGGTGTTATACATGAGGACACAGTCTTCCAAAAGCATCACTAAGCAGCTAGGAATAATGTGAAGTTTTTAACAACTTGCAAAGCACAAATGCTGCACTAATTCTAGAAAGGTGAAAAGCTCAGTCCTGCTTTATCAGAGTTCACTGGAAGATAAGCCAGAAAAAAGACTTACCTTAAATGCATTCACAATTGCTATGCAGTCACTTTTACTGTTCTCAGCAAAAAACAGTTTGTTCCTGGCAATAGAAACAAAAAGAATTAACAGTATTTTTTTTTCAAATATTGAATGTATTATACAGCTCAGAATGCTACATTATTAACACCTTCCAGGACATTAATGAACAAGGTCAGTGCATTTATTTTAAGTATTTGTTCACATTTCCTTGCAGAAGGTAAACTGTGTGGGCAGAATAATAAAAAAAATGTGATCCTATTTAAAAAAAAACAAACAAAAAAACCCCAAACAAACAAACAACAAAAAAACCCCCAAACAGTTTAATAGACACTTCCACATGTTCACATCAGAAAGGTAAAGCTGAAGAATCAGGTCTTGTACTCAGAAAAAGATGAATTAGGTCTATGATACTAATTAGTTCATACAGACATAGATTTCAGTACCTCAGCTGCCCTAGAAAAGCTGCTTCTTGCACTGCCTGGCACTGACAGGGAAAATATTATTTAGTGGTCAGCTCAGCCTTCTGCCCCTAAATGTAGTTAGGAAGTTGTAAAACATCTAGAGTAATACCTGTATCCATCAACATGCTGTTTGAAAGGTGCTGCAAAAAAATTCCGCAAAGAGAGTGCTGCAGCTACAACAAAAACAAATCAAAATGAAAACCTGCAAATAATTTGTTTTTAGAGAAATGTTTTCACACGTTGTTCTTTCAGTTACCTATAATAAGGCATTCTTCTAAGCACCCAAAGACATGCCCGAGGACTATCAATTTTCCAAGACGCAGATCCACTGGCAACTGTGCCAATACCCTTCCTAAGAAAGTCAGCTCACCATCATGTGGATTTTCTTCTGCTTGTGCACAAGTTTTAAGTGCTCCCAGCTAGAGAAATTAAGATTTATTCACTCGTAAAAGTTGACAAAGGAAATATAAGATCAGTTTGTAAGAAAACAAGAAAAGAAGAAAGCAATTATCTCAAAACAACATCAATTAATATAAAAATTGTAAAGTCAATTTTAAAAGCCTAGTATTTTGAAACCAAAGCTTCTACTATACATATTGAACATAAAAGCAAGCTACAGATGATACAAATGTAATTTCTTATGCACTTTGTAAATGAACAAGTTTAATCCAATGAATGTGGTTTCAGATCAGAGGGCAACTGAGCAACCACTCAGCTGCTCACCCGCCCTTTCCCCCCCAGCACTGAGAAGGAGAAAATAAGCAAAAGGCTCAGGGTTTGATATACGGACAGGGAGGAGTAAATTACCATTATGTTCACGAGCAAAAGGCAGACTCATTAAGGGAAGGAAAAAAAGAACATAAATTTAATACAGACAATAACAACACCACCACTTAACAGAACAGCACAGTGAGAAGCATTATCACATCTTGAGAACATCATCTCCCACCACTCTCCTTCTCAGGCTCAGCTCTGCTCCCAGTATCTCTAGTCCAGCAGTGCAGGGGCAGGGAACTGGGGGTACAGTCAGTGCTGCCACTTCTTCCATCTTGGGGTGGGGGACAGAACTTCTGGAAATTCTTCCCCCTGCTCCAGCATGGTCCCTCTCCCACAGGAGACAGTCCTCCCCAAACTTTCTCCAACGTGAGTCCCTCCCACAGGCTGCAGCCCTTCCTGAGCTGCTCCGGTGTGGAACACCCCCGCATGCTGCAGTCCTCCCAGTGCCAAACTACAACAGTGGGGGCTGCTTCTTCCCACAGGGTCCCGGCCTCCTTTGGGTGCAGACACCTTTGTTTTCTGTGTGAGGCCCCTCACAGGCCATAAATCAGTGTCTGCTCCTACTTCATGGATGGAAGAGGGGGCTGCCCTGCCGTCTCACCACAGGATACAGGGGGGTCTCTGCTCTGGCATATGTTATTGCAGAGGCACAGCTGATTGGCTTTCTAACTGAAAAGCAAAATCACCAACTTCCTTGTATGGGTCAGAAGGGGATCTTCAGCCTAACTAATGCCTATACATTATAAGGTATAAGAGTGTGATTTTGCTACTTTATTAATAAACAATTTCACTTACAGAATTCAAGTTCTTTTGCTTTCTATTCTTTCTCACCACAGATGCTAGTTCACAAACAGTATCATTGCTCCCTGCTGAAATTATTATCCTGTTTTAATGAAGTAACTGCAGAAATTATGCTGAAGAGGACAGTAACCAAACAACAGTCAAATGTGAGAAAAGATTCTCTAGACAGTTCCTACAACAGGTTCCAATTAAAGCTACCACAATCTTAAATACCAAGAAAAAGACTTATACAGTACATTTTTATTACCTTGATTTTAACAACATTAAAAGAATGCATACCTCTTTCAGCTGAAGTACAGTACGTTCAATGTCACCTACACTGGGTGGAGAAAGAGCTGTTGCCAGCAAGGCTTTTGGTCCCCCCATATCAAGCATTTTTATTTTTAAGACTGTAGTTCCCAACGGACAACGCTGAAGGGAAGACAATGTTATTGTTACTTTCATTCAATGGGAAGCGACACAGTATTTTATATGAAAAATAAGTTAAAGTTTACAATTTAGTGAAACCAGCCATTAATTCTGTGTAACTAAAGATATTTTTCTTTTGAACAGCTTGCTTGTTTCTAATTCACATCCATTTTACTGCTATAATGCATCTCCTTCTCTGAAGAATATTATGTAGAATAGTCTTTGTCTATTACTTTACTTAAATTCTATTCAGTATTGCAGTTATATAGCAAACTACTTAGAATGTACACAGTCTTTAGGAAAAGTAAAGAAAAATTGTTTTTTATTGTCTCTATGACCACACACATTAAAAAAATTCTTTATGTTTCCCAAAAGTCTTACCAGTATCTCAGGTACTGACTTCTCTGGAATAAAGTCTGTCCAGAATTCCTTGTGTACAAGCCTGTAACAATACCCTTTGGAAACACGTCCAGCACGACCTTCACATAAAAGAACAAATCACCCATTTGTAAACTTCCCACATTTCAGTCTGTTCAACAAACTCATCCATCTACAAGTCTTCTGGGCAGCTGAACAGCACATGATAGCTGATGGTGCAGGCTGACCAGTATTTTGATCTCTTGCAGTAGACAGGCTCAGTGGAGACACTGTCTCTATCCTTTCCTACATAAGGATCGGATAAAATCATTTTGCTTTCATAGCAGCAGTAAATAAACTTAATTATTTCACTCGAATACATCTTTCACATAACCGCCCTCAAATCAGCATTCATCTTTCTCAGTTAAAAACACATGACAAATCCTGTGCTAAAATACACTTCCTCAAACCGTGAAAAGGCGTAAGTTTAATATAGTTAAAGATGTCAACACTAATTTTAGCAGACTCCCAAACTGAAGATTCTATATGAAGAGTAAATATGCTTTGTGGTTGTATTTCTTTACACAATGAGCATACTCAGATTTCCTATTTGACAAAAATCTGTATAAACAACTTTCAAAATACCACAATGAACAGCAAAGCCACCTTTATGGTCTACTCTTTATACAAAACACAGTGATTCAGAAAATCTATCTTCACAAATCCAAACACCATTCGCTTCAACAAACTAAGAGGTATTCCAACCAGTGGGATACTCCACTAGGAGAATTAGGATACACTGACCCGGAACCAAATGGAAATAAAAGCTGTGTATTGGGTTTGCATGGCAAGATTTTGGTAGCCAGGGGGCTACAGGGGTGGCTTCTGTGAGAAGCTGCTAGAAGCTTCCTCCATGTCCGACGGAGCCAACTCCCACTGGCTCAACAACAGACCCACTGCTGGCCAAAGCTGAGCCCATAAGCAACAGTGGTAGTGCCTCTGGGATAACTTATTCAAGAAGAGGAAGAAACTGCTTTGAAACAGCAGCCAGAGGAGAGTGAGAGTATGAGGACCAACTCTGCAGACACCGAGGTCAGTGAAGAAGGAGGGGCAGGAGGTGCTCCAGGCACTGAAACAGATTCCCCTGCAGCCCCTGGTGAAGCCCCTGGCGAGGCAGGCTGTGCCCTGCAGCCCAGGGAGGTCCCCAGTGGAGCAGATCCCCACCCGCAGCCCAGGGAGGACCCCACACCGGAGCAGGTGGATGTGCCCGGAGGAGGCTGTGACCCTGTGGGAAGCCCACACCGGAGCAGGCTCCTGGGTGGGCCAGTGGCCTCATGGAGAGAGGAGCCCACACCGGAGCAGGCTCCTGGGTGGGCCAGTGGCCTCACGGAGAGAGGAGCCCACACCGGAGCAGGCTCCTGGGTGGGCCAGTGGCCTCATGGAGAGAGGAGCCCACACTGGAGCAGGTCTGCTGGCAGGACCTGTGCCACCGTGGGGGACCCACACGGGAGCAGTCTGTTCCTGAAGGACTGCACCCCATGGAAAGGGCCTATGCTGGAGCAGTTAGTAAAGAACTGCAGCCTGTGGGAAGGACCCATGTTGGAGAAGTTTGCGGAGGCTCTCCCATGGGAAGACTGTCCCATAGGAAGGACTCCATGCTGGGGCAGGGGAAAAGTGCGAAGGGGAAGGAGTGGCAGAGACAACGTGTGATGAACTGACAGCAACCCCCATTCCCTGTCCCCCTGTGCCACTCAGGGTGAGGAGGTAGAAAAATCGGGAGTGAAGTTGAGCCTGGGACTAAGGGAAGGCTGGGGGGAAGGTGTTTTAAGATTTGGTTTTATTTCTCATTACCCTGCTCTGATTTGATTGGTAGCAAATTAAATTCGTTTCCCCAAGTCAAGTCAGTTTTCCCCGTGATGGTAATTGCTGAGTGATCTCCCTTTCCTTCTCAATACACAAGCCTTTTGTCCTCACTCTTCTCCCCTCAGTCCAGCTGAGGAGGGGGAGAGTGAGAGAGCAGCTTGGTGGGAACCTGGTGTCCTGTCAAGGTCAACCCACCACTAGCTGTAATTGTGAAGTCCTCATAATATTTAAAAATGAGGCTCGTTTTATATCTAAAAATGTCACTGTTATTAATTTATTTAGTACTCTTTTTGACTGAAACAAAAAGATTTTGATATTTAAGAGCCCTGTCTTACTAGAAGAGCTGATATGAAATCTTAAACCTTGTATTACAAACACTGATCTACACTAGAGACACTGCTGCAGGTAGCTCAACTGATTGAAGAGCGACAAATGGACATGAAAGGTTTTTTTATTGCTGAAACTCCTAAGTAGTTAATAAATACCTAGCAGTACCTATCTCCCCTTTTTAAAAATGGCCCATGATAAAAAAATGACTATTATATACCAAAGAATCCTGGTAAGTTTCATGGTCCAGGAATTTTAGCATTTTCCAGTAAAGTATAAAACATTCCCACGGAAAAATACTTGAACAAAATAAAACATTCAGGTGTAGTTGTTCAATCACATTTTAAGATCCTGACATGAATAAGAATTATGTTTTTGTATAAAGTATTCATGGCAAAAATAATCTGTCCTTTTTACTCTAAATAAAAAAGAAACACAGAATACTCCATGAGAGTTAGCTTCTAAAATTCCTTTCCACTACCTACTGTCATCTTACCTTTTCTTTGATTACAGTTTGCTTTAGATGCCCAGCAAAGCCTCAAACTTTGGTAATTGGTTTCTCCATCACAAACCAAAGTTCTAGTTAAGCAGAAATCTATCACTGCAATTAAGAAAACAAAGAAAATACTATAGAACAATTTATCCTCATATGGCAGTGGAAAAAATACTGAATGATTTTGTTACCAGAAAATTTTCAGTTATTTGAAAACCAGGAAGAGAACATTAGATTTGTAAACCACCAGACCCAGGATACTCTGAATGCTAACAGAACCACAAATAGATTCTAACATAAAATAAAGTTAGTGCAGATGACAAGCATAAAAATGTAATTATTTCTGCATTTAGACATGTTAGAATTTGCTTAATCTGATGCAATTATTTCAAAACATAGTCAGAACGTCAAGAAAAAGCTTAATGTACTTGTGACATGAGGTCTGCTTTGGCTTGTTACTGCATTTTGAATTATTTCTTCTCCCCCATCTTGTAAAGATTAAAACCAACACCCCACTCAGTAGCTCTACTATTTGCTCATATATTCACATTTAAAACTGTTCTCTGTTGTGAAAGAAAGAATTCAACCATTAAACTCCAACAGCAATGCTTTGTAAAACGGTGACATGTTGTGGAGATTTAGGCTAGCACAAATAAGGAAAACTTTACAAATACAATGTATATACAACTACAAGATTTAGATGACTTACCATACTTAACATCTGGTACTGTTAAAGAGCTCTCAGCTATGTTTGTGGATAGAATAACCTAAGTTTTGAAGCAAAAAATGAGCAATGAAAGCATGAAGAAAAAATCACTCACTTTAATGCTTCTACATGAAACAAAACAACTTTCTATGAAGAAATATAAAGGTAATCGCAACACAGTATTTCTGCTCTGCATATTAAAAGAGCTATACAACACAAGAAAACTTGTACTTTGTTGTCCTAAGATCAGAAAAGCATAAAGTAGTATAGCATATGACAATAAGAGGAAGAATTAAAATATTTCCTTATGCCTTTGTCATAACAGAACATCACACTGTTAGCAGTGATACAGAAAACCAAGACACTAGCCAAAATGTGGGGTACAAAGTAGTCAAGACACCCCCTACTGCAAGACTACTTTGCTATGCAATGCCACCAGCAGCATACTGCTGTCACACAGGTGCAAAAATTGACATGTATAAACTATTCTGAAGGATAAAGAGAGCATCACAATAATTTAAGGATAACTTCCTTATTGCACTTCTCTTAAGGTCTAAACATCAGTTAAAGCAACAGCTTGGTAAGAAAGGCAATCAGTTTACATTTTGAAGAAAACAAACAACCGCTTTGCCCTCACACAATGGTTTGAGTTGGCACAGCTAATATTAATTTACATACATTATTATTTGATGTTATTACTCTAGCAAAATGTTTCACACAATTAAAAAAGTAATGATTCAACAATATTTACTTTTCTGTAACCAGGAACGGTAGTCAAAAATACATTACTCTGTTCCTCTAATGTCACACATGAGTGAAGTGGATACAGTTGCCACCTAAAGAAAATATATTAGTGAAATATTAACTGATGCAAGAATACAAAAATTAATTACACCTCTGCTAAATTGTATTATAAAATGACAAGTCATACAGCTGAAGGATTCATGTTCAAGTTTAACTGAACTGAAACAAATGTGGTCTAGCTTACCTTTTGTTAAACATATTTGAGAGACATGAGTGCATGTAGCTTATTTCACTCAAACCTAGGGAAAAAGTAATCAAGAGTTTGTTTTCTTTTTAGTCATCACCAGCAATTCTAAAACCAATTCTCCTATCTATTTAAATCTTAGTTGACTTTCATTATTACCTCCTTTTCAACGTATAATAAATTGGCAGAAGAGTTAAACAGCAAATGCAATGAGTCACTGAAACATTGAGTCAATTTTTCAAAAGCCATTTTGCATAATTTTACACTTAAAGTGGCAATATCAGACATAAAGGCCATCTGCCAGTGTCCCATAATTAGCTCCTGCTTCAGTTCCTTACTACTAACAATGTTCACCACATGTTAAATATCTGATTTAGGATAAAATTGGGTATTTCAGACAAAACAAGCTGTTTTCAAGAGTTGGGGCAAGGAAAAAAAAAAATTAAGATTAGCTATTTATGCCTTACCCATCTTAACTTTGGCAGTCCAGTACCCATTCTCTGGGGCATGGATTTAATGTGTGCCAGGGGAAATCTTATGACTACAGGATTTTTGCTGTTTTCCTGAATACCTCCACACACATAAATCTTTGAGAAGCCTAGTTTACTTCTTATTGAGGCTTCAATTCCAAAAGCCCCATTTTCAAAAGTCTGCCCCCTAGTTGGACATTAAAAATGAAATTATTCTGTAACTGCAGTACAGGATTGCTGCAATTTTCAGTGAGGCTAAAAGCAGTTTGAACACCTTGATGTGAAAATTCCTGCACTGTTTAGGTGACTGTTACTTGGTTTCACAAGTGAGAAGGAAGGAAGACAAATGCAAGTGGAGGAGTAGAGGTATTTTCAGGAAAGACAAGAGACAAGAATAAGTTAAATCATAAATAAGAGAAAAGAAGGGTATGTGATGGGCTGGAAATTGTGATTGAGTTCAGGTAAGCAAGGTAAAAAGGCCAGAAAGCAAGAAATTGGGGCAAGAAAAGGAGAAATAGACTCAACAAGAAACCAACATAATACAAGGTTAGTTGGAAAAAGAAATTGCAGGAGAACATGGAGATTAATCAACTACTGGAGTCAGAAAGGTTGAAACTGGTAAATGAAAGGAAGTGACTACAGGTAAGGGAGATAAAAGAAGTCAGGATTGGGGTGAGAACAGGTGAGTTGGAAGAGGAAAAAAAATTGGTGATGGTGAGGTAATCAGAGGGAAATGTAAACATTTCAGATGTCCTTTGTGTGAGACTGCCACAGGGGAAAGCAATGTCATTAGAACCTAAAAAAAAAGATAGTCAGGAAGCCTAACTTACACCACAGCTCAAATGAAGTAAGAGTACTTGAGAATGCAAGTAACTGGCCAAATAACAAACTAATGACTAGCACAGTAGTAAAGCAATTAAAGCTCTAAGCAAAATACCTTCATCACTGTAGAGAAAAACATGCGGACTGGAAAATATAAAACCAGGATCACTTTTTAAGATTATTATAGTATGAAAAAAGGTGTCTGTTCATGGACTAGAGCATGTAATTAAAGATATATTTAAAGACACAGAGAAAACACAAAAATACCATGATATGGCCTGTTCGGAGACAGCGTGCCAGACCTACTTGATCCCATTAGGTACTGCTCAATTATCTGGCTGTCTAGTGCTTCCTACTCGCCATACTGCCTGGTTACATATTCAAGTAAGACATCAACACTTGAAAGCAATTTATGTTTAAAAACAATTAAAAGAAGCTTGATCCATGATTGGTAGAAGCATATTCTGCATAACCAATATTAATAGTAACTATTAATCAGTCTAGTAATTACTGATTAGACACAGCAAGCAGTATCTGTTACAACCTGGACTGGGAGCCCAGGGAGTTGTAAAAGTTCCACAAGTTAAAGTTCAAGTTAAATTAATGTGAAATGACACCAAACTTTTAAAAAATGTTTTACTCGCAGTAGAAACAACTTAAACTTGGAAAACAGATAATAAGAGATGTGGCCTCTTATAGGTAAATCTACAAGAAAGAAAATAAAGGAAGAAAAGGAAGGGAGAAAAAGTCAAAGAATCCAGATCACTACCCCAGGTTCCAGTGTTGTCTCAGGTCTAGTAATCTTGGGTGGTAGGTGCACAGCCAGCAAAGTTTTCAGTCACTTTTAAAATTAATCTTACTGGCTGATTTGCATACTAGACAAAGACATGCATGTATTCCATGAACTCATTTGCATGTGAGGAAGAAGAAGTGCATGGGTTCTGTTCATGTGTCGAGGGGGAATGGGGTACATTAATCCTTTTGTCCAGTTGAGTCTGGTTGTGATCTCCCCCGACACCTTTACTTTTACCCAGTTTTTGCTTCTTGGGCAGTTATCCAAACTTTGGCTCCACGTGGTGCCAGCTGTTTTCCCTCTCCAATCTTTTAGCTGTCCTTCAACAGTACAGTCATTAGCAAGTCTGACATCATTTATCAAGCTCCTAAATTCAAGTGTAGGCATTAACCTGAACATATGGTTTTACTCAGTCTGTATCTCCCCCTCCAAGGCTTATTTAGGGAACTTGGCAATACAACTTCGAGGGAGTGGAGCCATGCACCCTGTTTCCCTAGGCAGACAGTTTGTTTGTTTCTTAGACTAACCACAAAGGCCACAACTTGTCCTTGGGGCTTTCCACATCAGTGAATGTTTGAGGCATTAACTCATTCAGTTCCTCACAGTATGTGCTGCCCAGTTCTGGATGTGACAAGAGTTGATCATGACACCTACAGAACAAAAGGCTGCCAGGAGGAGAGACAGATACTGGAATGAAACAGTTAGCTAGTAACAAAATTTGTTTGGCAAACATACCAGGGCAATAATGAGAGTGGTGCAAAAAATACAAAACAGACAAAGAGACTGTCACTAGTAGAACAGATAAAAGCTCAGGACATCCTCTGAAAGAAAACCCTAGAACTTTAAGCTATGCAATGCCTGCCACCAGCAAGTGCATGTGAAGCACAGCGAAATTACACCATCCTCATCTTCAACAAGCTCCTGAAGAGGATGACAACCTATTGTTGCATTCATTTAGGCCCTCAGCTAGTCTGGCATGTTATATACTTGAAGGTGTAGCTCAGTGAATATTCAGTCAACACTGTCTGACCTCTTTAAAGAGTCTAAGGAACTAGACACCAACACACATGCTCAAGTAACATTAAGGTTGCTATGTCAAGCACTTAAATGAAAAAATGCCAGAACTAAGATTGGTTGTTCAAACTTAATGCAGCTCACTGGGATATTATTTATGCATATATATTAAAAAAAAAAAAATCACTGTACAGTTTAGCATGGCGCTTTATCACCTCATACCTAGGGACAGACTAGCTCTGGAATCAAATGAGAGCTGAGTACTGAAAGATATTTTTCTGTAAAGAATCAGACTTGGTAGCATAAAAAAAAAAAAAGATTAAGCACTGAACAAGACAGGCAATTACAACAAAAAGGGAAAAGATGGCATCCTACTCAAGACAGCTGCAGCTGCTCTATGGAAGCAGATTCTGCCCCATCACCGAGTTCCACAAAGAGTGGGCAAAAATTATGTAACAGTAGTGCTCAGCACGGGACTATGCTCTCTGACTGCTGATGCCTACTCAGCTTGAAATGTCAATAAGAGTGTTATTTTGTATGTGCAAAACACTATGCAATTGTAAGCACTCAAAAAATCTAGGCATCTCAAATTGGTGTCCTAGATGTTGAGGTTATTTTTTACACAAATCTCTATCTCAACTGCCCTCTTGTAAACTAAGGGGTCTCCTCCCCTTTTCTCCAGTTCTGTATAAAGACTATTAGCAAATACATCTTGAAATTTTCTTCACTAATCCCATGCTCAAGATCAGTCTTGAGTATCCAGGCCAAGGTTAAACACTGAACAGCAACAATAAAAAACTGAGTACCAGCTCATTCAGAAAGCACTATCTACACAGGTTTTCATGAATATACCAAATATATTTCAACAAAAAGTTTTATTTTATCAGTTGCAGTTACAAGCCATCAGGGATAGCAGCACAATAAAAAACACTTCAAAGTGAAAGAAAAGAAGATTTGGGAACTGAACATGCTAAAAAGTAATTTCAGCCTGAAATGAAGATGCAGAGGGCCTGAGGAAGTCTGAAAGCACACCAGACAAACACCAATATGAGAAGCTAGAGGCAATGGAGATACTCGCCCTACTTTATTAATGGCAAACTACAATGGGTCCTATGTTGACATAATGAAGTAATTTCTTCTACCCATTGATTTTATAGAGGGTAACTCCAAGAAAGGCAGCTCTAATTCCTTTTAGCTGGCAGGGAGCACCCTCCACTGAAAGCTACTCTTCAAGTGCAGTACATCTTTATGCTGCTGTACCATGTTTCCAGCCCTAGTGCTAACATGTCTACTGCTAAGCTCAACACAGCAGGGAAGTGACCTTCATAAAGATGTTAGAAAGTCCTGCTAGGGACAGACCTCACCGTGTCATCTGGATTCCTGTGAATTAATTGTAGAATTAATTTAATTACTGTAACTTCATTTTTAAAACATACGAAGTCTTAATTTTGGACTCACAGCTCTTCCAATTATTGCTATAATTAAACAAGTTTACAAGAAAAATACCCAAATAGACCAATCAACTCCAGTTAAATATATGTTTAATAAATCCCTGGAAAAAGTGCCGGAAGAAAGCTCTTTAGATGACAAATAAGGAAAAACAAAGTTAAGACATATACTTACCTGGTAAAAATACTAGCACACTTCCACGTTCTGATGTAACACTCGAGGTTTTTTTCTCCCTAACAGGAATATGCAGTTCCATTAGTTTTACAACCTCAGTCTACTTTATTACCCCAAGTTATTTTATTCTGCAAGAACAAGCAGAACTGCACACTCTTTGTAACATGTATTTTTTAAACTTTCTGAAAAAATGGAATTCAAAATAAAACTTGTAGGCATGCTTTCTGAAAAACACAACATATAAGCACTAGAACTAGATCATTAAGTCAGAAACATTCTTATTTAGCAATAAAATAAACCAAAATTAGGTTACCAAAGATCTTAAAATGAAAACATAGTATACTACTGCAGAATTCTATGGAAACTTATACAGTAATTTTTCAAGTTTATGTAATACTCTTGTATTCTAAAAATATCACCAGACACCTTTAACAAATGCCTAACATGTAAAAAAGCTAATCATTACCAAGAACTACAGGTCATGACAAACTTTGAGGGAGACATCCTTCATTAATCTGTTACGAGTCAAGAAGCTAAAATCACCTTAACATAATACAGAATTCATATTCTTTGTTGTAATTATTCTTGATGTAAAATTTTTTCAGGCATCTTGAAAGTCTCTATTCTCAAACTATAATATAATGAATGTAAAGTATAGTATTTAATGGAAGGTACGTAACAATGGATGTTCACAGATCAAACACAAAGAGGAAGCCTACAGTGGTATCCTGGGTTTGGGCGGTGAGCTTTTTGGTAGCAGAGGAGAGGGCTACAGCAGTGGTCCCTGTGAGAAGCTTCTTGAAGCTCCCCCAGCTCCAAGTCAGACCCAGCTCTGCACCAAGGCTGAGCCAATCAGCTGTGCCTTTGCGATAACATATTTAAGCAGGGACCTGGGAGGAGGAGTTGGACTTGTGAGGAGGAGTTGTGGCAGCTGCATGAACACCAAGGTCAGTGGAGAAATGGAGGAAGAAAGGAGGGGGGAGGAGTGCCAGAGCAGAGACCCCCCTGTATCCTGTGGTGAGACGACAGGGCGGCCCCCTCTTCCATCCATGAAGTAGGAGCAGACACTGATTTATGGCCTGTGAGGGGCCTCACACAGAAAACAAAGGTGTCTGCATCCAAAGGAAGCCAGGACCATGTGGGAAGAAGCAGCCCCCACTGTTGTAGTTTGGCACTGGGAGAACTGCAGCATGCGGGGGTGTTCCACACCGGAGCAGCTCAGGAAGGGCTGCAGCCTGTGGGAGGGACTCACGTTGGAGAAAGTTTGGGGAGGACTGTCTCCTGTGGGAGAGGGACCATGCTGGAGCAGGGGGAAGAATTTCCAGAAGTTCTGTCCCCCACCCCAAGATGGAAGAAGTGGCAGCACTGACTGTACCCCCAGTTCCCTGCCCCTGCACTGCTGAGGGGAGGCGGTAGAGATACTGGGAGCAGAGCTGAGCCAGGGAAGGAAAGGGGTGGGGGAAGATGTTCTCAAGGTGTGATAACGCTTCTCACTGTGCTGTTTTGTTAAGTGGTGGTGGTGCTACTGTGTAATAAATCTATGTTCTTTTTTCCTTCCCTTAATGAGTTTGCCTTTTGCCAGTGACCATAATGGGTGATTTATCCCTCCCTGTGCTATCTCAAATCCCAAGCCTGGCTTATTTTCTCCTTCTCAGTGCTTGGGTGGAAGGGGAAGTAAGCCGCTGCATGGTGCTCATTTGTCCTCTGAGCTTAAACCATGACCATTGGGTAGAAGCAAGAACAGGAAGCCTGGAGGGAATACAGAGAAAATTGTCCAAGGAGCCAGGGATCAGGTTAGGAAAGACAAAGCCCTGATAGAAATAAATCTGGCCATGGATGCCAAGGGCAACAAGAAAAGCTTCTATAGTTATGTCAGTGATAAAAGCAAGACTAGGGAAACTGTGGGCCCTCTCTGGAAGAAAACAGGAGACCTGGTTACCCAGTATATGGAGAAGGTTGATGTACTCAATGACTTCTTTGCCTTAGTCTTCACCAGCAAGTGCTCCAGCCACACTGTCCAAGATGGAGAAGGTAAAGGCGGGGACTGGGAGAATGAAGAACCATCCACTGTATGAAAAGATAAGGCCTGAGACCATCTAAAGAACCTGAAGGTGCATAAGTCCATGGGACTTGATGAGATGAATCCACAGGTCCTGAGGGAACTGGCAGAGGAATAGGCTAAGCCGCTCTCCATCGTATTTGAGAAACTGGGGCAGTCTAGTAAACTTCCTACTTACAGTCAAAGGGGAAATAACCCCCATTTTTAAAAAGGGAAGAAAGGAAGACCTGGGGAACTACAGGCCAGTCAGTCTCACCTTTGTGCTCTGCAAGATCATGGAGCTGATGCTCCTGGAAACTATGCTAGAGCACATAAGAAATAAGCAGGTGACCGGTGACAGCAAACATGGCTTCACTGAGGGCAAATTGTGCCTGAGCAATTTAGTGGCCTTCTATGATGAAATTACAGTGCTCATGGATAAGGGAAGAGCAACTGACATCATCTACCTGGACTTGTGCAAAGCAATTGATTCTGTCCTGCATCAAATCCTCGTCTCTAAATTCGAGACACATGGATTTAACGGATGAACCACTCGGTGGATAAGGGATCGGCTGGAAGATCGCACCCGGAGTTGCAGTCAACAGCTCGATGTCCAAGTGGAGAGCAGGGACAAGTGGTGATCCTCAGCGGTCAGTACTGGGACCAGTGCTGTTTAACATCTTTGTTGGCAACACAGACAGTGGGATCAAGTTTGCTGATGACACCAAACTGTGCGGTGTGGTGACACGCTGGGGGGCAGAGATGCCACCCAGAGGGACCTGGGCAGGCTGGAGAGGGGGGCCTGGGCAAACCTCATGGAGTGCAACAAGGCCAAGTGCGAAGTCCTGCACGTGGGTCAGGGCAATCCCAAGCACAAATCCAGGCTGGGCGAGGAGTGGCTGAAGAACAGCCCTGCACAGAAGGACCTGGGGGTGTTGGTGGATGGAGAACTGACTATGAGCCACCAATGAGCCCTCGCAGCCCAGAAAAGCCAACCATGTTCTGGGCTGCATCACAAGTGTGGCCAGCAGGTTGAGGGAGGGGATTCTCCCCCTCTACTCCGCTCTCGTGAGGCCCCACCTGCAGTGCTGGGTCCAGCTCTGGGACCTCCAGTGTAAGAAGGAGATGGACCTGCTCAAGCAGGTGCAGAGGAGGCCGTGACGATCATCAGGGGGCTGGAGCATGTGCCCTAGGAGGCCAGGCTGAGAGAGTTCGGGGTGTTCAGCCTGGGGAAGAGAAGGCTCTGGGGAGACCTCCTAGCAGCCTTCCAGTACTTAAGGGGGTGCTACAGGAAACATGGGGAGGGAGGCTATCAGGGAGTGTAGTGATAGGATGAGGGATAGTGGTTTTTAACTGAAAAAGGATAAATTTACATTAGAAATAAGGAAGAAATTCTTCACTGTGAGGGTGGTGAGGCGCTGGCCCAGGGTGCCCAGAGAAGCTGTGGCTGCCCCCTCCCTGGAAGGGCTCAAGGCCAGGTTGGACGGGGATCTGAGCAACCTGATTTAGTGAAAGGTGTCCCTGCCTGTAGCAGGGAGGTTGGAACTAGAAGATCTTTAAGGTCCCTCCCAACCCAAACCGTTTTAGGATTCTGATTCATAATAGCCCTTTTGGTATTGAAAGTTAAAATGGTAAGTGCATTCTGGTTTGCTTATAAAAGGTAGCTTATTAGTAAAAAGTAGATTAATTTTACCATTCTAAACTACAGTAAAACAGCTTAATTGAAAAGATGGAAAGAAATCATCAACAAAAAAAGCTCAGATGTCACCACATATTGTAAAGAAGATACTGCCAAATTTTTACGTACCTCCATAAACATCTGTACTTCAGCGTTTCAGCTGACAGCTGCTCAGGTAAGCCTAAGCAATGCTTTCTTAAAATTTCAAAGTTTACATAATACTAAGTTTGAAAAAAAAAGTTAAGCTTACAAAATAAAATTATTTCTTCATCATACACTTATAAATGATTAGATTATATGGGAACAAAAAACATTCCTAAACTAAATATGCACTCTGTTAGACCAAAATTGTAGAAATAACTTTACTATGGGTTAGATTATAAACAACAATTTATAAGACATGAAAGTAACATAAATTAATGTTTAGTTATTTCAAAAGACAGTAAGGCATTAGTTAAACCGCCAGTGAAAATCAGTGCCTTGTTTGTATTCTTTTTTCATGGCTTAATGTATGTTTTAATTTATAACACAAAATAGTAGTTCTGGTTTTATTCTTCATATAAGTAACATTCAGCCCTGGTCTGCAGGAAAGATTCTAGTTTCCATATAACATGGCTGGCTTGAATGGTCACACTCCAGGGCATGAAGTGTATTTCAGGAACACAAGGCATTCAGTAAGACCTACAAGCAGTCTTAGCATGACTACCCTGAGTGGAAATCACACAAATATATAAAATAAAAGCAAACCAGAGATGCACAGAAAGTTAAGTATCACTAGTAACTATAATACACAGGCTGCTACTGTTCCTTAATTAGTGTCTCATTTCCCCAAAAAAACACTGATTCTGGATCCTGAACTGTATCTTACCTATTGCTCTTCATCTCCAACTCATCGAATGACTCAATCAAAGACACTGCTACTTCATACATTTCCTTTACTATCACTGGTTCCTCAATTCTTTGAGGGGGAAGCTGTGTGGAGAAGAAAGTATTGGGGTTAACACAGTATAACAGGCCAAAGTCTAGATCACACGTGTCAGTTTGTTGAGTGCTTTTTGATTAAAACTGATCCAGCACAGAAGCTGTACAAGAAAGTAACTTAATCTGGAGCATTCATTACCTTCTAAATAGATATCTTCCTTCAAGCACTCTACCATTCTAATGATAAAGAAACACTTCTGATATTTACTTAAGATAAGCACTAGCCCACAATCCATTCCCTAATGTTTGCAGAACATACTCCTTATCCAGAAGTGTTAAGCAAATGAGGACATTAAGCACAGGATGACAAAGAGAGGAATTCGTACAAGGCAGGCACAATCCTCACAGGTGCTACAAATTGATTGCCAAATCAATCAGGTACCTCTTTCTCATTTAAATTGTCTTTGCATTTAACGGATCTTTTGTTTTAAGTCATACTGTGCCAAAAAGCTATGGTTCTGTTGTACACAATATAACCACGATGATTCTATCTATACTGTTTTCCAACATTCTGTCACAAACTCATGGCTTTAATATCTAAGTACACAAACCATCAACTCTTTAGAGAAAAGACAGGAATTTAATCACACTTCAGTTTTTAAAAAATAAATGCTTAACAAACTAGACATGCTCTGGGAATGGTCTATAAATATTACATATTTTTACCTCAGAGAAAATGGCTTTCCATCATTGCTCACCTTTCATTCACAGGGCTTCTCATCATTCTAGTGGAAACTCTGTACTGGACTAATTGCTGTCTCTAACTTTTCTAGACTTGTATTACAGCATAATCTGCTCTTCACATACTTCACATGATTATAAATCCTACAGTCAAACTGCATTTCTCTCTCTCCTATTACACCATGGAAGTTCTTTCTTCTTTCTCCTCCCTCCACTCAAGTGAAATATTTACTTTTACACTTTTATGCTAGCAGTTTAAGTAACCCAAGATTCTCCCCCAAAAACAATACATTCAAGTGATCATATATGTGTGTGTACGCTTTAAGAAATCATATTTTTGCACTAGCTAACAAAGCTCCATTTTTACTTCTATGCTCAGCCAAGTATTTCTCCTAGCCTAACATTCACCTTCACCTGTTGCTTGTTACACTATGGTAGTATTTTATTATTCAAATACAGCTTTATTTAGGCTTAGATTTCTCATTTTTATTTTTAATGAATGGTACTATATAATTGAAGCAACAGTGAGAACTGAACATTTGTGCTTTAAGCATAACATTTCAGAAGAACTGGACTGCACAGTAACAATAAAAATGCAACAATCAGTAGTAATTGGCAAATACGTGCAGATAAATACCAGCATAAGGTAGGATACAGCTGTAGCCAGGGACTTAACAAGGATATAAAATGTAAAGAAAAAGTCACTCGTGGAAAGGAAATCAAAATGCAAGCTGAATGGCCAGAAATAATACTTAAGGTTTATACACACAAAACTAAGATATTCCAGGTTTTTCTGTAAAAGAAGCAGAAGGTATTTACCAATTGTCCACATTTCACAGAGATTTGCTTTTATTTTAATCAAGCACAAAACTAGGATTACACACTCCATTTACCATATAAGCAAAAGAAGATTCTGCGCAAGTTTTCAATGGGCAAAAAAGCAACTGAAAAGGATATACTGATCTCATTGGAACACATCACGTGTACTGGTAAGAGTATCATTCATATAACGTGTCCTTCAACTGTCTGAAGTGAGATGAAATCTGGTAAAACAATGTGTAACATAGGCATCTGAAGATTACAAAATTTGGGTACAAGCAGATGGTGTATTGGCTGAAATTAACCACCTGGACCAACTACTCTGATCATAAGAAAATAGCTATCTTCCATTGTAATGCTGCTAAAAGGTAAACATGGCCCCAGGTCAGGAAAGGCATTCCAGGAGTGCCATGTGTCAGTGACACTGTACAGAACTGCCCCCCCCCCCCCAAGTGACTCAGGTCTTGCCAAAGTTTTCAGCCAGCATAATTGCCAGCCTTTGAAATAAGAGAACTCTTGAAGCCAACAGGTACTCAGTTTGTGATGCTGGGGAAACAGATTAGGACTAACAATACATCTGCCATTCTTACCAGGTTTTAAGGGGATCAGCTGCAACTTGAACAGAAGCAAATTATGACTTCGATGACCAGAAGACTGAAGAGACTTTCTTGTAAAAGGAGAATAGCAATGGCTTACCTTACTAACAAAGCAAAATGAAAGCCAGAAAGAGGTATTATCAAAGTGTAAATAAGAATGTGGGAAGGAGAAGAGTTAATCTAAAAAAACCCCAAACCAAATAAAAAAACCCTACAGTTTTGACTCTAATATTTCAGTCTCTCAAGGTGTTACTGGGAGAAAAGGCAAAAGAAGTAGAAGTGTCATTTCCTTTAATTCTTTCCCAGCTCCAGCACTGGGGCTGCATGTTCAAGGTTCAGTGCCAAAACAGTTTTAACCTGATCTGAAGGCTGGCCTGCAACTGTACACATTTGACCTAGTAGAGATGTTTCAGAGAGCTACAACTGCAGAAAACGGAACTGTCTCAACTATTAAAATGAAGTCAGTTATTCTTCTACCAGTTTCCCTTTCCGAGAGGGCTCACGACAGAATCATAAAAGCCCTACTGCTAGGACCAGTTTGGCAATGCAGATTTAGATCGGCTTTTGCAATTGCAACCTCAGTTCTTGGCTTTCCAACCCTTACCAGACCAGTCAACCTGTAACACTATATCATGTCAACCCTGGGATGCCTTGCTATCTGCAGAAAGATTCCTCTCTGAAAACCCTGAGAAAATGATCCCACTTTCTTCTGGCAGAGGATGGATTAGAGGATCAAAAAAATCCATCTGTAAGAATTTTACAATGTTCTTAATAGCATTTTACACCCACTGTAGTAATGCTTTTCCAATGAAGCTTCATTAGTCCATGAGAAATCACAGACAACATTCTAGCAGTTTTGAGAAGTAGCACTTTTTCTTCACCAGTATGTGTGATAATCTAAGGAATTTATGTTTTCTGGGCTGCTCAAACATAAGACTGCTTGGTTTAGATTACCCCTGCTTAAATCTGTCTTTCCAACTTTCAACTGCCTTTTCAAATTTCAATTTTCAAACTGTCAAATTTGCCTTTTCAGCTTTTTTACTGATTGTACCTCTAGTATTCTGTAACATGACAAGGCTACCAAATCACTTCTAATTAAAGGTAACAATATGACAAACAGCAAATCCAAAAGCCCAGGTAGAGTTGACTGCAGAATACAACATAATCAGAATAGCTTTTGGTAGCAGTTCACTGTATTTCACCTGGACTCTGACTTCAGGTCCAAGGATATGAGATAGTTTTTACATCTGCAGGTCAAAAATGGAAAAGTTTTTTTACCTTAGGTAAGAAGTAGAGACATGAGATTTCATAGATTTATTGCTGAAGACTAACACCTAGACTCCCCAGTTGCTTACATTTTTAAAATCTGCTCACAGAATTAACTGTACAATTAATTTGCATTTGATATCTCCCATACTCTACTACAGCAATAAGCAAGCATTTATCTAGCTTTAAATTTGGCTAGATACAACCTACATGCATTTCTCCCAATAACACTGATTCCCTGGGGCTTAGAGGGTGTAGATATGACAAAATAATGATCCAGTTAAATATCCAGAACACTGTGCTTACAAAGGCCATTATGCCAAAAGAAAAAGAAACTACTTTTTATAAACCTACTCAAAAAATTCAACAGTACCACCTATAAATGACCCAGTACTTGGGCATGGGTAAGCTAGTGCTACACTGAAGTGTTTCTCCCTTCCTTCCCTCTTATTTTCATGTTTTCCTTCAAAAGCCTTCCTACAGAGTAAAGCATTTACTGCAAACAGGCATACAGAAGAAAAAGTAAGGACTGCCATTTCTGTTTATCTTTCAAATCTGAACTGATACCAGTGAATTCCCAAATTATCCAAATCAGAAGTTCTTAAAGAAAATTTTTGTTTTCAAGCATAGTTGTAAAACATTATCACCTACAGAGACAAGTCATGTATTAAAGCCAAGAGTTCTGCAGGATTCATAAAAGAATTCTACATTTATACAGGGACATCTAATTAGTTTAAGATTTTTTGAGAAGGGAAAAAGGTTTGTACCTCAGCAAACAAGACAAAGGACTAAACTGATTTCAGTCAAGATGCTTTTAAAATGAATGAGTTATGATTTATATAATCTGATTTTCTAGTTATTAATTTTAAAATCAAAAAGAAACTTGAAAAAATATGTTTGTCTAAAAATCAAAGACTGCTCTTTCTTTTAACTTCCATATTCTTTTATGTGAATTTTACAGGCTTTTATAGACAAAAATAAAATATTAACAACTAAAGCTTGAAGCCTGTACCTCAAGCAGTTAACTGGTTGTGATTTTAGCGTGATAAAAGATGTGCCCTTGCTTCCATATGGCAGCTTTAACTCATTAACTGCCTTAACAGTGAGGGTCTGCTTTCATTTTCATTAGAGTTATATAAGTCAATCTTAGATCTTCCATGTTTTTAAGTGTTTTTAAAATAAAGCTACAAGAGCACTTATGTGCTTCTATTGTTGCCTTAAGGTATTCTTCTCCTACTAAACAACAGAATGGCTATAAGCTAGGACAACACAACATAAAAAGATGAAAACTGTATTTAAAAAAAGAAATAAAATCAAAGCTTAATGTTCATATATACAGACAAAAAAAATAAAAAAGGCGTAAGCACTGAAAGCAGTATCTTTTGTCCACAATCTCCGAGGTGAAAGGTGTGGCAGCTGACATTCAGCTTGAAGTGCAGCTATGACAAATGCAATTTGATTGAAGTAGACTTCTCACTGAATTTCTTAGTTGTTTCTTGTCATCTACCATCAAAAATCTTTTACAAAAATCACCTATTAATCTCCTCCATATCTATCTGAGCTGCCATACTAATGTATAAAAACCGATGGGCCAACCGCTATATGCATTTAGTTTATTTTTTTGACTGCATTAAAACTTGAACAGTTGACAGCCTTTGATTTTAGCTTGCTTGTGTTGAGGCATAATCAATGTTTTATTTCTCTAGTTTAGTTTCTTCAGAATTGAGGGATGAAAGCTAAATAACAACAGTATATTCACATACTGCTACTTTTTAAGTTCATCCCCCGTTTTATTCATTGTATTAACCTCATAACAGTATTCTGAACTATCAAAACTGACCAAAAATTACTCCCATGCCTCAGTTATTTTTAGAGGGGTTGTCACTAATAAACCCCAAGTGCATTTGTTCTACTTTGCTTTAACCTGTTTATCTCTTGCATTGGACCATAATACTGAAAGAGTTCAGACACTCAAGTAAATTCCTCTACAGCTGGTTTTCAACTGTAAAACAAACTCCTATTATAAAACCAGATACCAGATTAATCCAAACTTAAATTTATTCCTTCATTATCGGTTGTCTACGCAGATACCTGCAATACAGTAACACGTCAGGAGCTCTACAAACAAATATACTTCATAAACTACAGATTGACACAGCAAATGAATCTTCAGCCGTTACTACCCTCCTTAGGCATTAGAGCAGCAATTCTCCAGTGCAGCCATATAGGCTGTTAAGTGGCCACCAGGGATTTGGTGAGTATCTATTATTCTAACATTTTCATTACTCAGTATTACATATTTACCATGGTGGTCTACATGGCTACAACGGAAATATGTTCAGAACTACTGCATAACAGCTCTGGGACTATTAAAAAAAAGAAATATTAAAAGGAAAAAATTGGAAACACATAGGCCTCAGCTGATAAGAGAAGCCAGCTTGACAACATCAAACTTCTATTCATAAATGCTTCTTTTCTGATGACTCTCTTAATTTCCCAGCTCTTTCTACCTTTGACACATAACAGCAACATGAACCAACACAGGAAATATTCCCCAAGTTTGTCAGCTGTATTCAAAGAGATCTATAAATTCTCGTATGTTACTGTCTGCACAGACTTTTACATAGTTCATCTTGAAGCAAACTACTAAACAAAATGCCACATACTACTTAAAATTCCCTGTCCTTTACATTCCATTTCTGTCACATGAAAGAAAAGCTAGGCTGCTGGTAAGGAGACCCCTGTTTTACTCACATGCTAGTTCTTAGTATTGTAATGTAAAATTGATTGTGAGCTTTCAAATTGACTATTCCAAGTTCCTTCTTACTATGTCCAAAGAAATAAAGTTATAGTTACAATACCTTGAAACGAACAGTGTGCTTCAAATCATCAAGATAATATTCTTCAATTGCATAAGGTTTGCCTTCCACCTTAAATACACAGGCTGGATTCAGACCATTATGAGCCGGAAGTGCAAAGTAATCAGCAAATTCCTTACAGTTGATGGAAGCAGACATCAATATTATCTGTTAAAAATTGCACAGCAAATGTAAAACATTAATTTTAACAGAAAATGTCATGTTATGCTGAAATCTCCGCTTCTTTCTTTATGCTAAAATGGTCTAATTTTGGTTACTACAGGTATGTATCCTAAGCACACTGAAGACAATCAAAGCTGAATGCTCAAAATTGCCCAGGTAGCATGTGAAAAAAGGTAAGCACTTGTAAGGCAACAGCTCGGGCTAGATGCCTAGGGCAGACAACGTGGAAAACTTTCCTCTGGTAAAAATTCAACCTAAAAACTTATAGCACTATTCCTTAAGCTTATGATCTCTTACATGGGCCTCAAAAGAAAAAAAAAGTGTATAGTATTTCCAATTCCTGTTTTACTAAACAGTTAGAGTGCCTTTAAGTCCATCAAAAGATGGGCTGACTCTTATAAGAGCAGTAACTGTAATTGTAACGCAGCCTTAAAAACATTACTATAATGATTTTTAAATACGTGAAATAGATTTTTCTCTCAGTTTCAATTGATTTCTGCAACTTAAGAGTCTTAGGGATCAAACTAAGCTCCTTGCTCTGTTTGCTGACTCTGACAAGATTCTTCACCTGTATTCACTTGAAGAGACGAATAGAAAATTGCATTTGCTACCTGGTGGCATCTCTTCTTTCAATTATTATGAAATTCAGAATTTACCACTGTGTTGTTTTCTCCCTGATTAAACAGCATGTGCAGAAGCAGGGAAGGGAGAAGAATGAAGTAACTTAGTGGCTATGGCTATTTACTCTATAACCCCTCTATTTGGCATGTGCTCTCACTGCTCAACACAGCCAGATGGAATAAACTACTCATCTTCAAAAAGGACAAAGAGCCAAGGAATTATAATGAACTGTTTAGTGTTCAGTTTCTTTTATCTTCAGGTCTCCTGAGACACTCTAAGCAGTACTTGTGAACTGGGACATGGTCAGTCCTCTTCTACTTTCCTGACGCCTTGCACGAATTTGAAAATAGAATGAAAGAGAGACATCAACATCCAAAACAAAAATGCAGTGAAATACAAGAGCATCCCCCTTATGAAGTGACAGGCAGGCAAGCTAACAAAGTGGGCATTGTACCACTATGCTCAGCTCCAAAGCACATGTAAAAGCAAAAGGAACACATAGAGAAGGCAGACTAAATCATGAAGTCATTTAATATGATCCTGAAAGGAGAAATCTGGAAGGATGTAATTCTGCAAATACATGAAACTTGTCCCACTACAGCATGACCTGTTTCATGGCTCAATAGAGAGTGGCTCACCTCTGCTAGGAAAATAAGCTAAATGTAACCTTGCCTGAAGGTTACTGAAATAGAATCCAATCTAAATTATCCTAACTGCAGTTATAGGCAAGGAATATTAAATTACCTCTTCTTCTAGACAATTTTTGTAATTTGCACTCTAATCTTCAAGAAGTCCTTCCAAACTGGAAGGAAAACCATAGGTTCCTAACAAGAGTGCCTGAAGGATCGCATTACTAAACCAAGAGTTTGATGTACTTCCAAAGCAGAAATTCTACAAGCACCTATCACCAATATGGCAGAGGAACACACTGGAATAGAACAGTCAATCAACTGTCTGCTCTGTGATCTAAAAGCAATAACCTGCACCAGCCATCTGCCAGAAAACTCAGCATAGTTGGTAGGTGAGCCACACCTAGATCCTGTCCTCCGTGTGCCAGAAGCACCCCTGCCACCCTGTCAGTTGATGCAATGTTGAATTACCTGCTACTTCTAAGGTCTGCAATATCCGGATTAGGAGATAAACATCTCACATATATATTTCATATCACCCTGATTTATATATATATATATATATATATATATATATATATATGTGTGTGTTTTTTTTTTTGCCTTAAATAGGCCTCCTTACACCCTTTTGTTTCATTAACCCAGTGAGGCTGGGATAAGAATCTTGCATTTTCTAAAGGAATTTGCCACACTATCAGAGCTCTTCTTTCAGTTTTTCAAATGAGACTGAAAAGGGATGAAGTAGGAGACATTGGGCTTAGTGTATAGATTCAAACTGAATTACCTGTTCCGCTCCACTAAAACGCAGCAATTGAGATCAAGAGTTCTCCCCTCCCCACCATAAAAAAATTCAGCAGGACACATACACCCCCCCACACACAAATATAAGACTGTCTCAGATTTATAAAATATTAACTGTCACCTGAAGAAACAACTGCAGACAAGGATATAGAAGAGACAAAGTATTGCAGTGACAATTTTGATAGATTTAATCAGAATAATAGAGGAAAAAAAAAATCTTTCAGGAACCTATAGAAGAAAAATGTTTTCTAACAGAGAAGATGGTAGGACCTGTATGGTTTCCTGCCATTGACACCAACCAGATAAATTAGCATCAAGGGCAAACTTCACAAACCAAGTATGATCAAATTATTTGGTATTCTTGGTAGGCAGAGCCAAGTGCTAAGAAAGGCTGAATAGCTTCACACTACTACCTCTGAATTAAAAGACAAGTGAGTTTTCTTATCAGCAAGAAAAGGGATAAAAAGTAAAAGATGTGAAGTGCACACACATGCCCTGTGCCAAATGGGAGAGCACTTTCAGTGAGAGCATACTTGGAATATCTAAAGACAAAGTTATCCAGGTTTGAATCAATATGGTGGATTGTACAGAAGAACACAGTTTCCCTTCCAACAACATCAAAACCAGAAAATGTAGACTCAAGTTATGCCTGCTTTGAACAGAACATTTCACATGAACTGAGGGACTTCAGGGACACATACACTCTCTCAGAATTTCTGCAGTCCCAAATAGCTGCACAGAAATATATCAAGTTAGCTTAACTCTATCACTTGTATTTAATTTCTTCCAATTCAAGAGTTCATTACTTTGAGACCACAAAGACCAAGTATGTCATGCTAAACCTCTGCAAACTCTGCTTTAGTACAAAGCACAATTTCCTAACGTGCAGAGAAAAATCTCAGCCATATTTTACTACCCGTTCCACCTAGAAATTACAACACAGCATTTCTGGTTTTCTGCTCTTTTTCCAAATATGTTATCCCATTTAAAGAAAAGGCTCAATATTTTGAATAGTTAATACTACCATATTTAACCAAGGATAGGCACTGCCCTCAATACCCAATACATAATTCTAGTCAAATACTCATCTTGCATTTTTTAGCCTTAAGCAGACTTTAGAAACTAATGCGTTTTAACATCAAGAAAAAAAAAAGTCTCTTAGAAAACATCATAGCAGCCAGGAAAAGAATGACCTTTAGCTTGCTTGATTATGAAGAGTGGCAAACCAAATAACAGTTTAGTAAAAAATAATGACAAATTTATGCTAAGTTCTTTAAAACATGCCCTTTGTAGATCAAAAACATGTAAAAAATTATTCTTACAAGAAAAAGTAGCAGATATACTTTGAACCTACCTTTACAGACTGTGAATTTGTGCGCAACAGTTTACGGATCACCAAGAGTAAAAAATCCATTTCATCTGTACGCTCATGCACCTGGAAGACATCATCCACAATTTAAGTTTCATTATTTCATGCTCTTTTTGACAATCTCTTTCTTGGCTACTCATGTTTTATTTTTGTAACTTGGAAAAACAATACATTTTCATAGAAGCAAGCACACCTTTTAAGACTATGCACATCAATCACCTTTTAGAATCCACCGGTGCTGTTCAGATGACTATAGCATTCCATGAAAACCATATGCCACTTAAGTCACAAAAAATGTAGAATAATGACTGGAACACCCATCATGAGCTCTAGCGCCTAGTTCTCCTAGAGTTGACAATAACACCTGAAGTGATACTAAAGTTGGGTAAGTCAGCTGTACTGCTAAGATCAGAAATGATCCAGGCAGGGTCTATGTTGGCTTGTCTAAAAGCAAAGCAAATTGAATAGACGGCCCTTGTTCCCAATAGCTTCTAGCTACGATCAAAATGCACAACTGCTTCTTAAAATGTTATTTTCCACCCAATTCTTTATATATCCTAGCACCTGACTTTTCTCACTGCTCCTTGCAGTTCAATAAACACTTCTCAACATTATCAGTTATGATCATAACTCTTTCTTGAATTACTGTTTAAATACATTAAATGCAGTAAATTTTTCTGGAGCTCATTATCATTCATCACCTGTAAGATAACTAGCATATTCTAACATAATATATACTTATTTCAATAGTTCCCCATTATGAAACTTTTTTAGCTAACGCAGTTTTCAAGCTGACAACAAGGTCTTGCTGTAGGAAGTAATGACTTTCTGACCTAAGTTTGCTTAGGTATGTTCCTAAGTGCCTGCAATACTCTAAGAAGGCTGGGACCTGCAATTAAGGAAGTGGAGAACATGTGGTTGTTAAAATGGTTACTACCGGGTCAATAGAAAGATATGTGAGATAGATGTGGGGAAAAGAATGGCATATGGGGAAGAGAAGGGACTAGAATTTTAGCTGGGGAAGCAAAAACCACATACACTCATGAGAGCTAGGAGCTGCTGAATGAAGTGGTACAAGCTGATATCATCAGTTCAAATTACAGCACCCAAACGGACAAGGTTTGAAAAATCCCTGCATAATTCTGTTCTCCTGCAAAAGGGGCCAGAAAGCTTCACTCATCAATTTTTGTATCTAATCAATAGTTTTAAAACTAAAGGAACAATCTAACACTTCTCTATGTATGTGTATTCTATTGGTAAACATTTGCATCTTGCATCTAATCTGTCTTTCCTCATTTTTGGCTTAAAAATGTTCAGGTTTGCAAGACTGCTAATATATTAGAGTGACCTCAAATCTTTCCCATGAGGATAACTAGTACAATTCTTTAGGATTTGGGTTTTTTGTGTTCTTTTGTCTGTTGAATGAACTCTTAGAGTTTCTTCACACAAAAATTTGTTCAATCTTTTCCAGGTTTTCAACGCACCATTTCAAGTACAGTTATGACAGCCTTCATTATTACTGCAATAGTCTAATGGTACACCAACTACTATCTGCCTGCTCCTCAAGCATCCAAGAATCAAAGCCACTCTCAGCCACAATACCATAGCAGAATAAAAACAAAAAGCAGCATTAAAAAAAAAGGAACAAAATAAAACAAACCTGTACATGCCAAGATTTAAATCCTACATCTTACACTCTTTACATTCATGGTTTGTGAAAGCACAATTTCACACCTGACTGTGGTTAACAGCCAATAACTGCTTACCACAGAAAATAAGCATAAAAACATGTAAAAATACACAAATTACAAAAACCCTACAAGTATATTTTCTTTAGCATTTTAGTGAAGTGACTGAAATAATAATGAATACATGAGTGGACTGAAAAAATCCCATCAGAAGACAGAGAACTGTCAGAGGGCTATTTAGTTTTTCAGGACATGCCTGAAGAGTAAAGACTCTAAGGGCAGTAATAACCAAGTGAGTAAAAACTAGCTGCCTCCTCCTAATAGGCCTAGCTGGACACATTCTTGAAAATGACACAGTGGATTTCAGAAAACATTTCAAGGCACTCATAACACAAGCTAAGCACTCCCAAAAATCCTCATCCACCCTCAGTTCTAAACTTTGTTGCTCAAAGGATCACCAAGACAAGCCCATTTCAAGAAGCGTTAGCTTAGACAGCTTATACAAAGCATCTTTACAAGTAAATGTCTGCATTTTTCTGGCATTGTAAGAGAGAATAAGGTTTTCTTAAAATGAAATTTAAGTTTATTTCCACCAACTTACTTCATCAATAAAAATGTGCGTGAATTCAGCGAGGCTTTTGGCACAAACTATTTTCTGAAGAAGAACTCCAGTTGTCACATACAACAACCTTGTGTCCTTTGTGGAGATGTTCTCTAAACTCACCTAACAGAAAAATAATATAGATGGGAACAGGTATTTCATGTATTTACAGGAACATGCATTTGAAAGAACTCCAAAATGAAATATAGTGTAAACCCATCAAAATTACTCTGTTAAACTTGTAAAAGCCTCTGTACAAATGCCCAGAACCAGTTAACCACAAATATTTTCTTTAGGATAAATTAAAAAAAAAAAAAATTGAAACCCTGAAGTTATAAAGTAAAGGATCAAAATTCCTTGCTGGGGGCTCTAGCCAGAGAAGATTTCTTCAAAGGTTTTTAGAAGTACATACACGGGTCTTTCCACCAATATACAAAGCAAGAAAAACATTTTGCCAAAATATAGTTTGTTTACTGGACAGAAGAAAAGGAAAGAGGTATAAGGTATCATCAAGATCAGTCAACTTATTCCTAAGAGGAAATTTCTACAACTCAATGTTAAATAGCAGGGGTTTGATTTCTAAAATACTTCTGTAACTTTAGCTGCCCCAGGTGCTACCTACCCAGGCAGGCAGAGCCATGACTATCTATCTTTTCACTTGGAGCTTTTACAGCAGCTTAGAGCAGACTCTACACTCAGTTGAGTCTACACTCAACTGTTCTACCTCCACTTCTGTTCAGCTCACAAAAATGCATGCAGAACAATCACAGCACATCCACATATACTGTCCTGAAGACAGTATGGAAGCACACCACTGTTTTATGTCTAAGATTCATTGGCTTAATGAAACAGTTTAGCAATTTTATGACTAATTAATTCAAGGTATAAGATCATATGAAAGACTTTATGTAGAGATTACTTTGAAAAAAAACTAAAAACAAAAACCTACAAAACCCACAGTGATTCTACAGAATGATAACTGGAGGCTATTAATACTGGCTTAGTTAAAATTTGAGATTATGTCAGAACATTATTTTTATGGAATCATCTGGAGTGTTTACCTCAAACTTCAGTTGTGTAAAAAAAAAAGAGAAATATTTTTTCCTACTGCAGTATTTGTTGTAGATATATCAAAAGACACTGATAAGATTTGATACTTAGGCAGAGAACAGCATTCAGTAGGGATGATGATAAAGATCCCTTTGATGGGAAAATGAAGCTGAGGTGTCTGTGTAGCCCTGTAATATGGTATTGCTATTATCAGTAACAGGCCACAAGCTTTGTACTGAGTTTGCAAGGTCTCAGGACTAAAGCATGTCAGGTCTGCTCTTTGAGCTTTTCTTGATCTGCCTTCACCTTTGCTTTAATTGGTCTAGATGTGACAGCAATTTAGTGTAGTGTACAGATATAGAGATCCAGTATAGTAGAAGAGACCGTGGAAAGTGAAGACCAAGGATGTGGCACAGAAGAAAGCAAACGTGGGATAACAGATGAGGCAGAAGCTTGGTACTGCAGACCCCATGCTATAAACAACTCTATAATGGTCAGTTAAAACTGAAAACCTCTCAGACTTGGAACTGGACAAAATTAATTTTATGGGTAACAAAGAGAAAACATCTAACATACATAAATAGCGCCATATGCAGTACCTTTGGAAGTAACCTGGAGCTGCAGGCCAATGAAGAAAAATAAAGCTGTAAATGCATGTCAGAAAACATATATACACATGATCCTAACTGGAAAAAAGGAAGGAAGAAACAAGAATAAGAATGAAGAAGAGCGGAAGAAGAAACCAACATGTATTCCTCCCAGCAAAGGACTCCAGAAGCAGACAACTCTCTAGGAACATCCTCCCACCACCAACACCCATGTGAACCCACTAGCCTTCGGACACAGAGAAGCTCATCCAGAGACAGCTATTATCAAACTACCAGTGAAACAACCATCGCAGCAGTTTACTGCGGTTACTAACAAAAAGATGCTTAAAACACCAGTATCTGTGTCAAAAGATGAAAATAGCATCCAGTTTATAAATGGAGGGGTAAAACTGAGTTTGAAGCTGAGATGAACAAAATTAAAGGAGAAAGTAGATTTAATAAGAAAAACTAGTTCAAGTTTTTCATGTTAAGAAGAAACGACAGGATCTTCACGAAACAAGCTGGCCCTAAATGCATGAAAGTTTCAATATAGCTGGCAGGTAAATGTATTAAAGTCAAACAATCAAGTATGCCAATTAAGGAGTTTAAAGGAAAAATGATAGAGTATAGTTCTCCTACAACAATTTCAGTGATTAATAATATAGATTTATCTAATTATCAGAATGTAGACAATTTTATTACTGTTGGAGTTACACTAGCATTTATAGTTGTTCAACTTTAAAAGCTTAAAGATGACAGCTAGAGACCTGCAATTCCACTTCAAAAGCAGATTCTCAGCATTTCTTCAGTATGTTAGATATGCTTAGAAGTAATTGAGAAAGAAGATACAGTACTTTTTAAATAAGATTTGAAATTTTCTTATACCTGGTATCCTACAAATCCTCCTAGTCTCCACGATCGTTCCTTGCTAATCCACCTGGCAATGCTGCTGGCACCAATTTTCCGAGGCTGGGTAACAGCAATGTTGCAGTAGATAGATTGTTGAATGCAATAATCCAAAATATATAGTGGAACCTGTGTGCTTTTACCACTTCCAGTTGCTCCTTGTACAATCACAACTGAATTGCTTTCTATCAGAGACACTATCTGAAACAATTTTTCAAAAAAACTCATAAATCTACAAAACAGCTCAAAATAGATTTCACACAGATTTGAAATATCAATAGCTTCCAGGCCACATATAAAATCTCTGTAAAACACTCTGCCGCATTTTCTATCATCTCCTAGGCATCTATAGATAACTGAACTCGTAAAACATATTAGAAGATCACAAAAAAGAACATGGGCACACGCTTGCTTACATATTTTACATAAATACCTATAACCAGAAAGCGTAACAGCAATCAAATGTTTCTTCCTCGAAGAATTTTTATACAATGGTTTTGTACAATGAACAAAGGTTTTGTACCATGCTTAAAACAGGAACAGATGTTTCCTTCCAGAAAAAAAAAAAAACAAAACAACAAAACAAAACATGATTTTCAGCTTTATTCCATAATGAGAGGAAGTACAATGAATTACCTCTTCCCTGTGTTTCGCTATAGGCATATCCACACATTTATGGTTAGTTATTGGTATAGATGTCTTAGCACTTGATTCACACTGAGACAATGAAGTATCTAGGCATAAAAATAACCAAGAGTAAGTTATTTAAATAGAGAAAGGGAAAGACCAACAGGAGAATGTATAACAGTATTTGAAAATCTAATTTCTATCAAATTTGAATTATGTGCTTTTGAGCATTAATAGAATTAATAATTTTTAATATTAGTAGATTGAAGAGATTTTCTGTGTTTATGCACTTCTGTTTTACTGGCAGCAGCTCTGCAAAACACTGCTTCTTGTGTAAGTCACTGTCAGTGTCAAAGATGCATAGAATTCTGTAATTCTATATGCTTTTCTCTAGAAAAATAGTGGTTTTGTACAGTTTGCATCACAACTGCCAGCTATACTCCTGTTCCCAGGAACTTTTTGGACAACACTGAAAAAATATGACTTATTCACATACCCACAGGTTGTTTCCCCTAAAGCCTATTGGATCCACTGTACACAATAACCCACAATTTGACAGGAAGACCATGATGTTTCTATCACTTGGCAATTAAAACAAGTCTGTTAAGTATCATGATGACCCTTCAGTGTGATACTACATTCTGCATTGACTTGGCAGGAGTTAGTCACCATTATCACTGGATAATACAGGACAAAAATCTTACTGCTGTCACAAGTTGCTGCTCAGCAGCCTGCTGTCAGTTTGACCATGAAAAATAAAAAAGGGACTGAGCAGGTGTGGAGGCAGGTGCAGAGTGGGAAAACCAGGACAAGACTTTGGTATACAACAATTTTGCTAATTACAATTTGGCTAAAAAACCCTAGTATACTGGAAAAAAAAGTGGAAATGCAATTTCATATGGGTTTCACCAGGCACTATGATGAAATTTACTTATTTGCATACATATAATAAAAACTTAGACTTCACTTTTCTTTATGTCATGTTATTTCCTGAAGAAATACAGAGTAGTGGGAAAGAAATCTAGCATTTTTTTTTTTACAATGGCAGTATTTACTGTAAAATAAAGGCTATACTGCACAGTTGTAGCTTTTATTAACACAGTTTGCTTCTACTAACAATCTCTCAGCAGTGAAGCAGAAGCAGGCAGAACAACTTTTTGTCTCTGTACCATACCTGAATGTGCTCCAAACCCCACACTGTCAAGTGTCAAGGAGCACAAATTGAGTTGTTCCCACATTAAAACAAACCCCCAAAAGCTAGGCAGTTCACTAAGACAGTTTCATAAAGCACTAAACCCCAGAGTTCTCCTGAAGCCACACTCTCCAACAAGAAAGGTTCTTTACCTAGATTCTGTGTAGTGCCACAGTCAGAGGTGATCGCTGCACAGTGAGCTACTTAGCACTACTAAACACATACAACACAGAACTTAATAACAGCACCCCTTGAAAATACTAACTGTCCTCCTTAAGATCCTTTTGGTCAAGTTTCTAAATATATTCCCCTGGAAAATTCATATATAGTGTTCTGTCACAGCAACGCTGTACAAAGGCTGACTGGCTTCCCTCTGGCACAAACATGTCACTTCTGAGATGTCAGTAACTCTATGAGTTGACCAATGCTGAAGAAATCTCAAGCTGCTAGGGAAAAGATCCCAGTGTCAGCATATTCCTGCTAAAGCAACATCGCCTTCCCACCTCTGCTGGGTTTTCCATGTAACAACTGCAATTTTGAAAAATGTGTTAAAAGCATACAACAGAAAACAGCAGCAGTTCTATATCAGTGCTTATAAAAAAAGGAGGACAAAAAAATTTAAATGGTAGGATTCACATTATAAGCTTCTCTGACTCCGTAAAAAACCAGCGTATTAAATAAAAAAAAAATTAACCTAAACTTCAATCAAGAATTTATTTTAAAAATACAGAGGAAAAAAATAGAAACAACTAAACAACCACCAGTATTCTTGTACCTGCTCAATGATCAGATCAATTTAATCAATTTTGTGTATCTCTTTTACATTGATGAAACGTAACTTTTTTATACTGCTTTTTATATGCGAGTTCTAGGACACCAATATCTTACTTTCTCCTAAGTACAGGTGTTTGGAAAAAAAATAGCAAAAATAAATGGTCATCCAATGTGCAGAGTTTGAGAACTGGCAGCCATATAACCATTCAGTAGATGCTGCAAGCGCTAAAAACTGTATAGTTTATTTTTTCTCTTTGAGACATCTACTCTGTGCTTAAATTGAAAGAAACATTACTGAGTTTGCCTGGAAAACTAATACCATCACAACTGTGAGACTTCTGTCTAGAGCAGACACTACAGTCCTGAGCCTCGGAGTAAACTGGCAACTTCAGATGAACACTGATGCCACGTAAGCAGCCACGAAAAAGCCCACTAACAAACTAGGGATACAAGCTGTCTCTGAAACCCAGTAAGATTGTTAGTGAAAAAAAGCGTGGGACTGGGAACTTGAGCAATCATATTATAAGACCTCAAACTTTTTTTTTTTTCTCCCCAATAAAGATGTTCTGAACAATGAAGACTCACTGCAGAATAGAAATACTTGAATATTCAATGCAAGTTCCAAGTTTATTCTACTTTCTACTCATTTAAATAACCATTCGACTCTATACCATACAGTATAATTACCTTCAAATGCTGTTGCTTGGTTTGAGTTTTTTTGGGGTTTTGGGTTTTTCATCTATTTATGTAATAAACCCCAAAATGAGAACTGGTCTTTAGAAAAACAGATCACTTCTGCAAATAGAAGTATCTACAGATTCAAGGAGCTACAGGAATACAGACTTATCAGCAAGAAAGGCATGAAGTTTCACTTTTTCAATTGCTTATACTTTCTGGAACATATTATTAAGACTGGGACAACAAAGCCAACTGGTGCACTTTTGTAAAACATCATGCTCAACTACACACCTTGGATTCTGACACACAGAGAATGCAGGACACTTTGAACCTGCAAGCAGTAAATTGAAGAAACATGCAACTGCCCACCACACTGTTTTGACAAGCAAAATATTTCTGTGTATAAGCACCATTAATGTCAATCCAGAGTAACTAATGATACCAATTCCCTTATTCAGTGCAAAAAGAAACTGAAAACTCAGTTATGGGAAAGATGAATTTGCCTGCTCACTTCCTTTTCAATTATTATTAAAGTTCTGTAGAGGTGTGTTAACTGCCGTGACTAAAACAGTCTACTGCCCATGGAAAGTGCAATTTTACAATATCTTGGTTATTTTAATCCACATAGCAGATGTATTCCTTCTGGCACCAGTTTCGTGAATTGAATTTGAAAAGATCTTTTAACACAAGAATTTTGTATTCACCAGTTCTAGGAGAAGATATTGTACAGCTGGATCTTGGTATCTGCCACTAAAGAAATTAAAATGAGATCCATGAAAAAAAATATATACTTGAAAGTACTGGTTAGGTGAGTCCAATGAGATGCATACTACATCACTGATTATTCTTCTGCTGAGCTACAAACACAGAAAGTGATTACAGCTAGCAAGCAAGCTAATGGGAAAGGAAAGCCAAAGGAAACCACCAGGCTCCTACACTGAGCCACAAAGTGTAAGGACTGCACAGTGAATCAGAACTTCAGTGGTAACGCAAAGTACATGAAGTGGTTGCTGAGCGAGCCCTGAAGAGCTTAACCCAGAGCCTGGGCAAAGCAATTATCCTGACCAGAGGAAACAGGCTGAGCAGTTTTCTGTGTCTTGAAGCTCTGACTGCTGAGGGATGCCCCTCCGGTAACGTTAAAATTCCTAAGAAAATACCACATGTAATTAGTCTTTGCTCCTGACACTGCTCGTGTCCATTGCAATCCTGTTCAACTTGCATGTATTTTGAATGCAAAAGCGTTTGGGGTCAAGATCTGTGCTATGATCAATTTCTCTGGCATGCATCTGTTTGGAATCCAAAAACATTTAAGGAACTCTCTAACTTAATTTTTTATATGTCAGAAACCTAATCAGAAACACTATTTAAATTGCTTCTTCTCTGTAACAAATTATATCACCAGGGACCTAGAAGATCCCCAGAAGAGATCCACTCAATGGTGTAAAAATAATGAAGATAGAGGAAAAAAAAACCTGTCATCTACAAAGCTGCATGAAAATACGTGTACTTTAAAAAAAAGAAAAAAAAATAGGAAGTTTATGAATGATTTTAGAAGCTTGCTTAAGAGTAACACTGTTCGTGCATACAGTTTGGAATACCCAGATTACAGAGAAAAAAAAAAAAAGAAATTTTTTTCCCTAGTATGTTCAAAACAGGCAAGTGTCCCATACATATAGCTCTGGAAAGTTCCCCTCTGCACAACATCCTGTGATCTCACTGAATCAACGGTGTGTGTAAGTGACTGAAACAGCCAGTAAAAATCATGAAACTAGACCAACGGGCCAGGGAATAAGAACTGCTAATGATCTACTTGTTTTGGCTAACAGTTGTGACAACGTATTTTCTTCTGCTTTTCTTTAATCCCTTCAACTTCCTTTTCACAGCACTATCATTTCTGCCATGTTCTGTAGAAGCCAAAACTCCAAGTGCAGTTCTCTGATGATCTGTTTTCCTGACAAACAGATTAGACATTCCTATTTGTCCTCTCTGTATAAAAACATATGCTCTTTCAAAGAAATTGGAAAGCACAAAGTTTAAACTAAACAGAACTCCATAAAACATGAAGACACAAGCAAACACAAGAGTTTCAGTAACTACAAGATTTAAAATAGGCTGTCAATTTGTACAGAAAATATCATCTACAATTCATAAAGAAGCAACAGAAGGAGTACCAACTCTGAAACCGTCAGGGCAAATCAGCTTCTCATTTCCATGTTCTGCAGTTTATTTCTTGACTATATTTGTACTCAACACAGCTAGAGTGATAAAGTCTGGTCTAGATAAATCCTTGATCATTTTTGACAATTTTTATGTTCATAAATAGAACATGCACTTCCAGATTAATATAGTTGGTTGTTACAAATGGGTCTTAGAGCTCTTGAAATCTGCTCTTCTCAAATGGTAATATGTTCCTCATGCAGTCTTGTTAACAACATACCCATTTTATAATCCATAAAATTACCATTACAACTCTCATGCTCGCTTAAGGAGCATCTTTATTATATTACCCTAAAATAATATTCCTGAATCTGTCTGCAAGTCAAAATTGATAGTAGTAAGAACCAGTATTTTCTGAGGTTTTTGTGTTACTCTACATCCAGGTGGGATTTGGCAGCTCAGCTTCAGAACACTGTAGGAATCTTCCAGTCCCATCAGTCTCCAGCCTGGTGCGAGTCCCCCAGGGGATCCGGTTCAGCTGGGAGCAGAGCACTGACCGGGAGGCAGGCATCAACGCTGCTCCTGAAGCAACTGAGACTCCAGACCATGACATAGACAAATAGGAAGAGGGGGAAAAAGGGGACCAAGGAAAACATCTAACAGATTAATAATGAGAGTATGCTAATATTTTAGTAATTTTTTTACAGCTGTTTGCTAACTAGAAGCTATTTAATTTATAACTGGAAGGCAGGAATAGATATTAGAAGGTATAAATTTCAAGGACAAACATTTTAAGGTAGACCAAGAGAAAACAGGTGTCTATAAAACAAAGTACTGGGATGACTATGAAGAAATATTTCCTTAAAGGTGTACGTTATAACCCTGTTTCTTCTACAGGAGGAACACTGCTAGCATCAGTTCCATTCAAAATTAAGAAGGCCGCCAGTGCTGCTACATTGATTTGCTAGCCTACCTTAGGCAGAACCTCGATTTAATAGCTGAAGGATATTAAATGATCTACGGTATTTCCTTGAATTAATCAATACCACTAGATTTTTAAAGAAACATCTGAGGAACTTACCCTTAGTCAACTTGTTGCTGTCCTTCCTTTGCACGTAAAGCACATGAAAAAGTAGGGAACACTACCTTCCTGAACTACAACATTATAAGCTTCTCCCAGTCCCTTTATTTCCCTATTTTTACCTTTCAATACCTTCTCCTCTCCCACAAATTTTACGTAATGTCAAGTGAACAAGAGACGGTATTTCATGGTTAAGAGAGATGGCCATATGCACTGTACATGGTGGACAGGCCAACTGCACCTACTGCCTCTCAGTTGATGACAGACCAAACAAATGGCTTCCTCACCTACCTGAGTTCCAGGGGTCGTATAATTTGCAGAAGCATGGATGGACGGTAATTTCTAGAAAGCTTCTCAATTTGTCAAATTTTGGTATATCAGCAAAGGGATACAATAAGTATTACAGAGAATGACATGCAGAACAGGCAAAACACATAAATGTCCTTTTCTTGGGAAATCATCTACATTTACAAATTTGGAAATTAAAAAGCCACAGTAATAGTTTGAAGCTGAGCTGTCCTGACAAGTGAGTCAGCCTCATACTGCTTTTATCAGAGCTCCTGGGAAAGAAATGCAATCAGATTTCTCTCTATAGTCAGGTCAAGGGAAAAATCAAGTATACCCAGAAATAACATGGAGAGAAGAATGGGAAAACAGAATAGAGAAAGACATGAATCCAATGAGCAGTATCTTTTCCTCGCAGATATATTTCAATCATATATCTACATTTATCAATACAATAAACCAGATGTGTGCACGTACATCTATGCAACAGCATTATACGTTCTGGTTTTCAGAAAATAAGGTGCTTACTTTTTAATACCATGCCTTATACAAAACAAATGCACAGACATCATTAAACAAGAAATACACAGTAAGGTTTCATAATTTTGTTTAGGGGAGGAGATGGGAGGAAAGACCAAAGGGAGAAAAAAAGACAGGTATCTGAGTTTAAGAACCAAATAGATGTATTTTTTTTTAACCTGGTTTATAGACAAGCTGATCATTTCCAACTGCATCTAGCTCTTGTGCCTCTGCTCGTCCGTATTTTTCAGTATATTCAGTTCCAACACTCTCTTTGACAGGGAGCCTGAAAAAGAAAGAAATGACGAATGAATAAATGCTTCCTAATCTAAGTCATGGGTATCTCTGGAAGTAACAGCATTATACAGTAAGTTCAGAGTCTTCATGTCATGCAGGAACTACTTCAATGAACAAACTTCAGAAATAAATTTTGTCTCTGCAGTTAGATATTAGCCTGAGGGAAGTGCCACATTAAATCTTTTCGTTTAGATTCTTAAAGATTGAGCTCCCAAAATACCATCCTTCAAGTTTTTAATACCTAGGAATTTCTCTCCTAATCAAAGTCTGTGATTTCTCCTGATCAAAGATGAAATAGTTCTGTTTCACAAATTCTTAACACAACACAGTTGAGAAAATACTTTTAATTACTGAACAATTCCCTGAAGACAGGGGAAGTAAACAGGAATTAACACAGTCATCTCACTGCTTTAAAGAGAAAACTTATTTATTTGAGCCAAGAGAAGATGGAGGAGGGGGAAGGAAAAAAAAAAATGAACACAGTCACCTGATCATTAAAATTTATGGAAATTTATAACACACAAGACAATGTTTATCCATGATGTAGAATGAAGTGGGATTAAAAAAAAATTTCTTCTACATATACAGTGTGAAGAAAATCACATGGATTTCACTAGAGAGTACAAGTGACATAGATACAATGATTGTATATTTATTAAATCACAAATGAACTTAAATGTACAAGAGTTTTGGACACATCAAAAGCACCCTATTTTTTTTTTTAACAATACAAACTAGAAGTCAAAACTATGGGTTTGCACTTTAATTTAAACTCTGGTCTCAGTGTAAGCTTCTGCTATGCAATAATTTCCTAACGCACGGCAAATCTGCTGCTCTGTAGGTATGTATTTGAGACATTTTAGTAAAGGATATTGCTGCAGAAGTGTCTGTTTCTTAACCTAAATAATAAACAGCACTGACTTCAAAAGCAATTAAGCTGAAAACAAGAGATTTTTAACGTGGCACTATGTCACACAGCTCTCATCAGAGAGTAATTCACAATATCTGGATGCCACAGAGCACCCACCTTCTCCAACAGAGCAACTCTGTGCCAGCTGGGCTCTGCTACACACTACTCAATCAGATCAGTCATTATTTACTCCTGTGGGAAACACCAAGTATTTATCACCTACTGCTGTCAACAAACCAAGAAATGGCTTATCCTATTTTAATAATATTTTAGGCATAGAGTTATGGCAATTTTTCCCTGGATCTCACGTATCTCTCAATGTAGGGTTCAACAGGATTGCACACATCTGCACAATCGCTATGTGAGCAACGGCTGCCCACCTTCAGCAGGCTGATTACAACACTTTTACCACTCTAACCCCTCTGAAACAGCTAGGACAGGGAACACTCCACAATAGGCCTGAACACAAGGTACAACTTGGAAAAGTTCATGCACATCATTTCAGACCACTTGTTAAATAGGTTATTCCACTAAATGTATATTAAACACAAGTAAAACCCAAAAATGCAAAGAAGGTAAAGTCCAGCATTCAGTAGTTGAAAATAACAAAATTAAGCTTGGCTGCACATTCTCAATTTGGCAGCATTGTATGCACGTTATACAGATTTTAGTGATATAACCCATTATTTTTAATTTCCGTAAGACTGCAGCCTCACCAAGTGCACTGAACACACATCTGACAACAAAACCTGTTTATGCAGTAAATACAATTTGTCCTTCAGTCCTCCACAAGAAAAAAGCCATCTAAGACAGTAACTGTTGTCATGGAAGAGCAGGTATTACTCAGCTGTCAGAGCCCTGAACAATACCAAGCAAATCAACAAAAAACTTCCCACTAAGGGTTAGAGGCTAAGGGTGAGAAAGGTAGGACTGTGTTCTTCATTTACTGTAAAGACCTTGCAGAAGCATGAGTATTTAAGCAGCAGCTAAAATCTGCTAAGAAACAGTTTTATATAATACCAGAGATACTGAAGTAAATGCTCCTGGAGATGGAGTATTAAGCACTTCAAAACGGGCTCACAGAAATATGTGCTTTTGACCTTTGCCTGTACAGCTCCAGGAAAATGAGGACAGTATGACCTCAGTCATTTTTGAGAGGACGTTATTTTTTTGTTTGGATATCTGGATATTTTCTTTCAGAAATTGGATTTTCTGTCTTCAGAAAACAGCATGCAGTAAATAAGCCTGAGGCTACACAATGAATAAAGAAAATATTTAATAGCCCGTCATTAAGAATGAACATTGCTCACTCAATGCACTGAATCAGGCTACAGTCTTGGGGAAAATCATATGCTACTGGAAAATTGCATATAGGCATATGAAATGAACAAACAACCTTCATCATTTCTCAATCTTTTAATGCTGAACTTTGCAACTTTAGTAAAATTAAGAGCTTACAGAATAATGTTATTTAAGTAGAATGGAAAAAAAATCCTTATGAAGCACTCTGGTGCTCTGGTAAATCATCAGAACAATACAATCCTGTTAAGTAGTCATTAATACGCCATCAGCAGGAGGTATCATCCTATACATACCTAGACAAACAGAAAGGGATGGAGCATTTTTCTAATGAGTTTCAAACATTTGATGACAGCAGAGGAATGACAAGATTAAGAAAATTCAAATCCATTCCAGGCTAGAGAAGGACAACACTAGTAATGGGACTTTTCTGGATTCTACTTATGAAGCATGTGTCTGTCCGATACACCGATTACCTCTTCCCTACTTCTCTTGCCTCTGACACAGTGAAAACTCACATTTCAGCACACCTGCCCTGTTCTAGTATATATTCCTTAGGCTTTCCAGATTCCAGCCTTGGTGCTCACCCACATTTAAAATCCCCCAAGTCTCTTGATACCCCAAATACATTATAACACTGGCAAACAACAACTTTTCAGCTGCTTATATGAAACACATTCAGAGTCTTATGAAATTAAGAGGCAGTAGAAAGCATTTTTGTGACTAACAATTACTGAAAATTTGAAGCCATCAATTTAAGGAAATGCAGAAGACTACGTATGTTCTGTTTTTTCTTCCTTCTCCCTCATTTAAAAAAAGAAGGTGAGAGTTTGACCTTATTCCAATCAAGGGCATGTTTCATCCTCAAAAGCAGCCAGATTTCTGTGGCTGAACCTTCAAACATATGACAATATGTCCACACTAAGCAGACAAAGGCAGACAACATTATAAAGCACTGAGAATATGATCAATCAGTAATGTTACCCAACAAGTAACTCTTGATATGTCCTAACATTTTAAAACATACGCCAGCTACCTAAAGGTGTACACATCCCAAGGCCTACCTATTTTGGAAAATACTCTCAGAAGCAGCAGATACAGAAACTTTGAGCCTGATAAGCAGAGATCAGTAGGAGGCTTGCTATCCAGGAAAAGACGTAGTACACAGCATGCCTCTTCAGAAGCTAATTAACACTGTTTCTTATGAAGATAATGGAATACTTTGCTTACTCCTTACCATGTGGTTTAACTACTATAACATTTTTCAGAAGTGTGACTGATCTTGGTACATATGATCTCTTAAACAGTTGATTGGGCAAATCTTAAAATATTTCTTATTTGTGTTTAAAGGAAAATTCAATGTCAAACAAAATTAAATACAACTGCCACTTCAGGGGATTACTGAGGGGGAACACGGTTTAACATCAGAAATTGTCGACACATCCAATTGTAAATGCTTTCAAGTACACTGAAGGTGCCTTCGTTTAAATAAATTCAGCTAGAGAAAGGTCTTCCTTTTCTTCAAGCTATAGAATGACCTCTAGTTAGTCAACAAAACCATCATAACAGAGTACACTTGCTAAATTTTTTCTATTAGAGCATTTGAAATATTAACCAAGGCATTTTTGCATACACTTACATTATCAAAAACAGAATCAATTGCCCAATCTCAACCGTAACTCTGACATGTCATTTGTTTGGCTCTTCTCAGTGACATACTCTACAATGCCAATGCATACACTGAACACCACTAATGTCTCTAGAAGCAATGCTTAAAAATGCCTTATTAAATGAACAGTCTTATTCCCTGAAAAAATAATACTGCTTACACAGCAAACTTGATTATATAAAGTAAATATTCAAGTATGTAATGAAATTCCAAGGATTAAGATACTTGCTTATCCAATTTCATACAAATTTATATTAACTATTTCAGTCTGGGCTAGGAGTTTCTATTCAAGGCCATGTAACTTCAAAAACATTTCCTTCTCAAAGACAAACAACTGAAAAAATCAAAGTGTTCTAGGGCTGTGTTTTAAAAAATTCTTATAGATGTACTTTTTGCCTATTTACATTCTGCCTCGTTTGAGACAAAAATCCCTGTTCACCTGGGACCAGGAGCTGAACACAGAATTAGTGTCACTCACTTCACAGGTCACAATAGTAGGACTGTGCTAAGACATGGTTTCTATCACACACACAAGCTGTCCACCTACTAGAGATCTCGGGGGGGGGGGGAAATCACTTGAAAAAACAGCCTTATAGAATACAGAGCAATATTTTGCTGTACAATTTTAGTATGGTATATCCAGTAGGCTGTTTCAAAGCCTCTTTTCTGAAACTAAAATAATGTGACACTTTACATAACTGAACATTTGCCATGACAGTAAATAACCTTCCACTGGGTTTACTGAAGGACATAGTAAAAATTACTTTCCTTTTAACTGCAGTTGGTATTCCATAAATTTAGAAGACTGGTCTTACCTGCAGAAATACACTAACTTTAAAGAAATAATGTACTGCCATTCAAAAACCACAACACTTCAGTCACAGAACTGGAAGATTATTAATAGAATTCAGAATAAGTGAAATGTATTAAATACTAAGATACAGGTTTTACAAAGTGATTTACAGATTATTTTAATAATCTAAGAAGCAGTGAGGTACATGCTTTCTTCCACTCAAGAGAACTGCTTTAAATTATTATTAGCTAGATTTAGTGATAAAGTCTTCATACACAGGCCTCAAAGGCTTGCACTGCTTCTCCTCACAGCAGTTAT